CAAATAATGGTAAACTGGATTGATAATTTTACATTCAATGGTTTCATCCATTTCTACCTGAAAACAGCAACAGAAGAAGAAGAAACATCTTCAATCGTCACTCATATCTGTCTGAACCATGAATTGATAAACTTTCATCAACAAACTGATGTGTTGCACCAATTTGTTCAACAATCAAGTTAACAAATGAAAAGTTTTCCACTGCAAAAAAATAATGGTTTCTCTCCATGAGAAAAGCATTCATATTTGGCTTCATTATCAAAATTAGATTCAATATCAGACTTGATTCAAGTTGAATTGCAAATTATTTTTTCACTTTTCTTCTGTTCCATTCAAGACGAAAGGTGAAACAAGAAGAAATGAAAAAGTGGGAAAATAATGAGAAAAAAAAGTTTGATTCAATTATAATAATCTAATTTAATTTGATTTACAAGTTTGAATTTGAAAGAAATTAATTTCAACTGTTCATGTTCATATTTAAATTTACATTTGATTACAATTGTAAGGCAAAGGGGAAAAAAGAAGAAGAGAAGAAAAAAAATGTTCATTTGAAATGCATTTTTGTTCATCAGAAAACAATTTCTGATAACGATAATCATAAGGAATAACCATTATAATATGATATTAAAACCAATGCAATTATAATAATTTACATTTAAATCATTTATTCGGTTTGAAAATGAAGCAAAAATGATTTCAAAATGAAGCAGCAAAAGAAGTGAAATGAATCCATTATTAAATAGATAATAATCAATCTAATGATCAATAACTGGATAATAAAGTTGCTTTAAATTGAAACCTAAAAATCGCTTTTCCATTCAATTTCAAAGACTATTAACTTTTGTTTTCCTTTTGAAAGTTGAACAAAATGGGAAAATGTTGCGATTAAAAGCATTTCCAGTCAACTTTAATTGTAAACCTTTTCATAGTTAATCTGTTGATTATAAACTGGGATGAAAAGTGTTTTCAGTTTAAATCATTAATTTCAATTTTCGCCTCAAAATTAAAATTGCTTTTAATCAACTTTTGAAACTCGGTTGGGTTCAACTTTTGTTAAACTATCGATCGGTTTGTGTAAAAATTTGAGTTTATTTATCAAAAATTCTGATCAATATTGATTGATTTGATTGCTAATGAGTGTAACTTGATGATAATTTAGAGGAAAAATGAATTACGATAAAAGAAGAAAATTTATTGTCTTTATCTCTTATTCACTCCCAGAATTAATATTATTTTAACAAGTAAAAGAAAATATAATATTTCATATTTCAAGTTTTCTTGAGAATTGAGATCATGAGATGAACTTGATTTTTACAGAGTTTTTTTTCTCGCTTTTGAATACAAATCATTATTGATTTGAAGTTGGAAAGGAAAAGTTATTCACTTTTTTTCAGCATTTCTTTGAATTGATCATTATTAGCTGATGATTTTGGCGAGTATCGATAACAATGAAGTCTCTCAAGTATAATTTAAAGTTGAAAAGTTGCAAATTGAAATTGAAGTTTCACATTGAATGGTCAACATTGAATGGACAGTGATGAATGTAAACAGAGAATGAGTTTCGAGTATTTTGCAGATGAAAATATGCTTCGATCACATCAATGGATGGAAATTTTGTAATGAATGGTTGGATCATTTCTTTTGCTTCTCTTGCTTCTGTTTCTAAAGGTTTCCATATTTATTTTGATGTTCTGGTTTGAGATGAATACCTGCTTTGAATTGTGATGAAGTTTGAATTGAATGGTCCAGAAATGAAGCTTTAAGTTTGTCTGTTCAAGTTGATGCTCTAGTCAACCAAGGTAAATGTTGAAAACTTTTTTTTCTTCTCTCTCTTCAAGGATGAATAAACTCAGAAGACAGAAGAAGAAAAAAAGAAGACCTGAATTGAGTAGAGCAAAAAGTAATGGTGAGAGGGAAACCAGTCAAGATTGAAGATGATGAGGTTCATGATAAGCTGAATTTAGTCTTGGAAATAAAAGATGGGCAAAGAAAGAAATAAAAATTTCTATTTTGTCTTTTCCAACTTTGAAAAGTGACCAAAATAAGTTAACTAAAAGTCAAGATGATGATGATGGTCATACTGATGGTACATGATCTTCCAGTTTGCATACTTTTTATCCATTCAGTCCTTTATTTACTCAAATGATGGACTTTATTTCAATTGACCTTTCATTGTAAAGCAACAAAACATATCTTATTGTCTTCTTTTTATATCACTTTCAACTATTTAGTCTTTTCCAAGATAATTTTATATCCAAATACAAATGGACAGAGTAAACAAATTGTTATTTACCGAGTAAATTGTGTTCATACAAATTTCCATTATTTACTTATTCCTTTTTACGTAATGTTTCAAACGATCGAGAATAATTTTTGAGTCCATTTATGAGGAAAAAACTAACAGTTTGGAAGCATCGAATAAAAGATAACGACAAAAAGAATCAAGAAAATGATTATGTTTAAGAGAATTTTTTCGAAAATTCGCAAAATAAGAAAAATTTATTCGAAGTTTTTATTCGACAAATTGGATGATTTGTGAGATCATAAAGTTGAGCCGAATTTCAAGTTTTGATCTCGACTTGAATCAACCATTAGAGATTAGTTTCAAAGGTAAACTTGAATAAAATGTTTTATTGCGTTGGCCTTTTTTATGAGCTAATAATTGTTTTGAAAATTTCAGTTCGAATCATTTTCTTCGAAAAAAGCGATTAAAACGAAGCTGCAAAAACTATTAACGGTTGTAATATGAGATTAATAAACATTGGTTTGCAACTGAAGTTGATCAGGTTTCAATTGTTCAGTTTCATTGAAGAGTTGCATGAGATTAATGCTTTTGAATTGATTATTTGTGTTGATAAAATTTGATATTTTTCTAGTTTTTCGATGAAACATTTGAAATGAAATTAAACTTTGGATTCGTTTTTGTTTCTTTCAGGAAAATTGTGCTCAGATTACCATTTAGTCTAAGCAAATGTTTGCTTGGAATCGAAATGATTGTCAATCAATGTTTCATCGAATGTACGGCAATCATGACGATCTCTGAATTCTCTGTCCATTCAATTATTCATTTGTCAACTTGTCATTAAACTCTACCTTTATCACACTCATTTTGTACTGTTATAAGCATTTCTGCACTTTAATGTTTCCTTTTCCTGAATATCATCATTTGGTAAAGTTGGAAAAGGTAAAAAAAGGCAAAAATACATGACTGTTGATGAAGTATTCATGAAACAAAAAGGAAAGGTTATTCATGATGATCAACATGAACATCAGATAGGGAATGGTAAAGAGAAAAAAAGAGGAGAAAAGAGAAGAAAAAAATGAATCCATTTAATAGCATGAAAATGATGATATTGATTGGAGTGAAGATCCATTAGGGAAGAAAAAAGAAGATGAAAATGGACCATAAATGATGAGGCTTGAACGTGTATGTGTCTGAGTGAAGAAGAGAAGAGAAGAGAAAAAATGGATTCAAGAAGGTCAACAGTGGAACATCTTGTGAGTTTCATCTTCATTCTCATCATTCTCATCATTTCCATCATTTTCTCAGCGATACTTTTCAATGTGAAAACACTTTTTTTCAATCAAAACTCGAAATGAAATTGCCGAGTAAATCAACTTGCATTGAACGCATCATTAAAACCTAAAAGTGTTCATCAAGTCAACGTTTAAATCAAACATTTTTCTTACCTTTTCTTTTAACACAATCAATCAGCCAAGTGTTTACAATTTGCTTGAAGCATTAGGTGAAGGGTCAAGTGTTGATCTGCTTGAAGCAAGTTGATAGCGATTAGTTTGCATCAAGAAGAAGGAGAAAAAATGAGCCAAAATTGAGATGAAAAACAGTGTTTGGTAAAAGCTAATCGATACTAAAAACCTTAATCAGATTAGGCAACAACCAGAAGCCTTAATTATTATCATCATTCTGTGTGTTTCCATGTACTTCAATTTGTTCATCTTTGAAACACTAAACCATCAATCATTATCCATGAACTTTTTTTTCTCAATCTGCTTCATTCCATCAAAATTTCAACCTTTTCTTTACCTTTTAATAATTCAAACAAATGACTGGCAAGAGTTGACATTTTATTATTGGTAGTGAGATGAACATGATTAAAACATGGAAACATGAGGAAAAGCAAAAAATGTTCTGAGAAACTCTTTTTTTCAGACTCGTTTCATTGCAGGTTTTATCCATTCGTTTGTATCGTTTGATGAAATTAAAGTTTCCGTTTTGTTAAACTATGAAAAAGGTAAAGTTGGATATCATGTAAGAAAAAAAGGTCTTTCAGTTAACCTGATTAAATGAAGCAAGGTCAATCCCTTGTGATATTTCGGGTAACATGGATCATGTGGCAAGTTGAACATAATAAAATAATAAAAATCACTGACAGTTAAAGGTAACACAACAATTGGTAATAATGGCAGTGATTTCAATTATCAATCAATTGGAAGAGGAAGAAACTAGATTTGGAATGAAATTGTAAGAAGTTTTTTTTTGCTTTTTTACACTTGAACGGAAAGTAGAGCAATTTTTTGTCTCAAAATTTCAATATAAATTTGTTGATGCATTCAAATCAAATGCCTTTCAGATTCAACTTACACTTGCATTTCAACCCTCAAAGATTTTTGACTTTCGAGTTGCATTTAGATTCAAGCTTTAAAGCAATTGATAAGTTATTCATAAAAAAGAGTTTCTACAAAAAAAACTTTGTCTCTTCAGAACAGACTTGATATTGATGTTACAGCACTTGATATCACTTTAGTCAGACTGTTATATCAAGCATTAGCCAGCTAATACTGATAAATATTAATAATAATATCAAATTGAGACAGCGTACATCGAATAAAGATTGGACAAACAAATGACCTTGAATGACCTTGAAGCATTGACTGATCTGAAAAATTTGAAATGTCAGTTAGAGGTTGAATAAGTGCCCTTCCTTGAATGATCTTGAGAGTTTGAACTTATCGGAAGCTTCGGAAGCAGCTGGTTCGGTCTGTAGCATCAACTGTTCGTGAGTTATGACTGCGAACGTGCGTAAAGTGAAGAAACGTCGGTTATTTGGTTGTTGTTCATCGTCATTGGTTGGGCTAAAAGCCTATGTGAACATAGCGAAGGACCGCTTTCTAAATTTTCTGAACATTCGTATCAGATAGAACATCCAAAAACATTTTTTGACGCATTGTTCGAATAGTAATTTAATAATTTCGATAAATGTAAAATTTAAAAATTATCTTTTGTTATTCATTGCTATAATCGAATACATGACTTATAAAATTAAAACTATTGGTATGGCTTATTTGGACAAAAGGCCCATCACACCAACAATGCATATAGTTAATATCAAAAGTTCTGGTTCAAGCTGTAATATTTTAGCATTTCGGAATGAATCCATGTTTGTATATTTCTATTGTGAAGGGTCGGAAGTTACAAACTTGTAGCAATAAACTGGTAGCAAACTCAGCCATGAACTATAAGAAAAAAAGATAAGCGTAAAAAATGATGAATCGTTATTCGATTGAAAATCAGACAATCAATTATCGTGCACATTGATTTCTGGTTAGAGGCTCTCTATTGAGGTGCAAAAAGATCTTAACGAATCGACTTTAAAGTACTTTATTGTAGAGTCAAACTTTGCATCTGAACTAGAATAAAGGTAAGATTCATATCGTATTCCGAATACACAGACATTTCTCTAGCAGTTTTATCAAGCAATAATCTTACTATTACAGCAAAACGTTCCGTCATGGTTGCCAAGTCACCAATTTTAATTCCATTAGTTGGTCCTTGAAGACGTGCGATTATCTCATTAATCTGTTGCTCACGGGAAACAGAGACCGTTAGATGTAAAGACAAGATCAACGAATGACAATTTAATTACCTTGAAATGCGAAGAAACTCTCAATTTAATTCCTCTATTTAGTAGATGGAGTTGATCGTGAATCTTTCTCAACTAAATTGAACATTGAAATGTACAGAAGCAAAAACATGCGAATCAAACTAAATGGTAAGATTATCGTTAATAAGTTCAAAGTTGTTATCGACGAACATAAAATTTTCCTAAGCAATAACTTTTGATCAGTTAACAGTTTTAACCCATAACTATGCAATTTACCTGATTCATAATATCAGCGCAAAAGTAGATTACCAAAGTTAATCCAATGAATGTAGATAGACCGAAAGCGAGCAAAAAACTGGACAAAAGTTCAGACTGAGACCGTACAACGATACCAGCAAAAACTGAAAAGTTGCTTATCGAAGCGGGTAAAAGGATGATTCCAAATATCAGAGATTTATAGCCTTTAGATAAATAGTCGAGTTTATTGAGATAGGCAATGATTTGCTTATAGACAAAGGTATCATCGTTGAATCCTTCCCAAGTGATTCCCGCTGTTGGAGCACCCGAAGCTCGGACTGTTTGTATTTGAACAACAATGGATCGAAGTCTAAAAAGAATCAAGTTTACCGTGATAAACTGATAGCCACCAATCGACATTAGAAAAGTGACCAAACTAATGATGGAAAGCAAGGTTGAAGGAAACCAGAAAAGTGTCGACCAAAGGTATTGACTATCGCGATACAATTCAGTCGATTCATGGTAAATGACAAAACTAAAGAAACAAGCAGTAGGTATTGTAAGCAGTATAAGTCGATGCCAAAAGTTGGCACAAAATATTGTCACCGAATAAAATATTTTGACCCTATTTTCACTAATCAACTTTACGATGGACATTCTGTTTCTTCGTATTTCATTGTAAACATCAAGATGTTGATTCAGTACACCTTGGGATTCGATTCGTAGATAAGCTTCTTTCAAAAGTGAAAGTGAAATGACGGTAAACAACAAGAAACAGTAAATAGGCCAAGAAGGTTTATAGTCGATGAAAGGATCGGCAAGGAAAACGTGAACCATTCGGTTGGTGGAGAAGAGGCACAGAATGAGGCGAATGGCCAGAGCGAACAATGAAATTCGAATAATGCAGTGCATGTAATGGAATTGAGTGTCGACCTTTAAACGGTACAATTTGTTGCCTGAATTGAATCCATACTTGCATGAGCCGAGTATCATCGTTAGTTGTTCAAAGCGATTGATGGCTTGACAGTAGTCGTGATGTAAACTCTTGTGATAAGGTAAACCTAAAACGATTGTTATTGCTCGGTGTAACTTTTCTCGAAATGCTGAGAAATATTTCAACTTTTCATGGGATTCCATTTGAATCTAAAAACTGGTTAAAGAATCATTTATAGATGAAATGAACAGTGAAATCAATTTGATATCAACTCTATCAACCTGAAAGACACTCAATGCATAAAAGTAAATAGACTTTAATGCTCACCTCAAGTTTACCTTTCAGTGTATATACACTTGGAATCAATCAATGACTACAAAAAGTACATGAAATATGCTCAAGGATATTGATTCGTTGAGAAGCCATTAATTTTTTGCCAATTAAATAAATCATCGTCAATACAAAGATTCAATAAGTTGAGGGGAAACTCGATCAAAATTCAATTGATCATTAGAGTTGTTACATTATTAGTATATTGTTGACATCATTAGAGCAATCAAGTCTATACTTTTTATTTATAATTATTTTTTGTAGATAATCTTGTCTTGAAAAACGTTGAACAATTTTTCATTATTGGTTGTCTAGTCCAATGAGACAAAAAAGCTTTAAAAATGATTCAACTTCAAGTGTTGAGCTTTCAATGCAAGATGAAAGAAACGATTAAAATATTAAAATTGATAAAATTCAATATTCAATCGATTCCTGCTGAGATCATATTTTTAGATTTCTTACACGAACATTAATATTGAATAAGTTTGATGAATTCATTAGTCAATCTATAATTGTATTACCATGGATTACATCGAGATTGCAAAAGACAGCGCCATCAAAGCGATGATTTGGGCTCATCGTCATGAGCTGAGTTTTTGTTGATGTTGATATGGACGATAGTAAAAGGTAAAATTGAATTTAGTGTGTTAATGCGTTAATCGAATCTAGACATGGAATATGAATCTTCAACAGAACTTGGATGGAATCTTTTTGTTCGACTGAAAAAAATGATGTCATTCATGAAACTCTTTTCTAATATATGACACATCGATTCTGTGAGAAATGAAAATGTTTTTGTATTTCATGTGATCAAAATGATTGCCCGTGATTACCTTGTGGGCTTAATTTAACTAAACCCAATTTATTTATTAAAATAACCCAATGATTCAAGTTGAACTCTGATTCAACCAAATTAATGGTTTAAACTTTATTAACCCTTAAGATGGTTAAAAGTTTATTGAAAACAAATCAAAGGTTTTACTTTTTACCGTCCCAGTTGTTTTCAACTAATAATCACAATTATAATGCAAAATAAAGCACTGAAACTTGAATTACGCATTCAGGTAGTAAAATCAGATAAGCAAAGTGAAAAAAGGTAAAAGTCTTTTATGCCATTTTGAGAGATTAAACCAAGTCAACTCTAGTCATGAAGGTTATCAACGTATTGTCACAATAATAATGTAAAAATAACACAATGATGCCAAGAATAAAATGATAAAATAATTTTATCTCCACTTTGTGTGCATTAATTTTTCAGCAAAATTAGGTGACTCTCAATATGGGTATAAAATATGAAAAGATTTGAGTAAAAAATCGCTAAATTTACCTCAATGATTCCCTTAAACACTCACTTTATTACCATCATCATCATCATCACCATAATGAGAGACTAACAGAAAAAACAGAGAACCTTTAAAACCTCTTCTCACCATCTGAGTTTCACTTTTTTTTATTTCCTTTTATCCACCAATTCATTTTAATCTTTACATCTTGCATACAAATAAATACTCTTGATCCTATTACTTTCCTTGCTTTCATCAAAACCATTATCACCAGAGTTTCAGTTGAAATGACAAAACTTTCAACTTCAACATTACATGTTATTCATGTTCGTGAATTTTCCTCACTTGATCATCATTCAACCTTTTCTCATCATCTTCCCAAATGATGTTGAATAAAAGGGAAAAGGCTGATGACAATGATTCGCTAGATTTACCTAGCATCTGATATGGGACAAGATGAGGCAAAACGATAGCAAAGGCTAACAATAAATAGCAAGATAAAAGGGAAAGAAAAGGCTGAGAAAAAAAGAGTCCATCAAGGATCAAAATGATGTCGATTCTTTTCACCATCTTTCATCTTCTTTCATCATCTTTTTGCTAAAGATGAAAAGGAAAAGAGAAAAAATTTTTTCCAACTCTTGTCCTCTTGAAGGTTGAATATGTCACCAATTGGATTGTTGGTTCAAATTTTTCATCATGAAATAATGATTCAAACAGTCATCACCATCACTATCAATATTCTTGTTCCTCATATTTTCATCTTATTCTTGGTCAATCATCTTCATTCTTTTCTTGATCGATTTTTCGATTAACTTTCCATCCTTTTCTTATTGAACGTAAAAATGGACTTTCTTCATTTTCCTTTTTTTTATAATTCGCCATCAAATTTTTACACTGTAAAGGCAAAAATGATGATGATGGACAAGAACATCTTCCAACATTTTCATCCTTTTCAACAAAATTATATCTACAATAAACTATAAAAAGTGAGTTCTTTTGCCGTTCAACTTTTTTCTTTCAATTTTCATCCATACTTTCCAATTGAGTCTATTGAAGCACAAAAAGTGAAGAGGAAAAGTTGGAAACTCGTGAACCTGATTCTGTGATATTTTGTTATGATACTGATCAGTTCAACTTGACGAGACAACGAAATTTGCAAAAAGCAAATAACTTCATTGATATTGCATTGAATCTCGATTGAATTTGAAACAAAGCAAATAATTTGTTTGATTGGAAAACGTTCACTTTTATTTACTTTATTTTTTCATTTTTTCACCTTCTTTTTTTCAATCAATCATCGCCTTATCATTAGGTTGTTACCTTTAGATATTCAAAGGTTAGATTTTAAAGGTTTCATTTCATTTATTGGCTTCTTCCGAGTAGCTTTCAAGTAATGATATCAAAATATTATCATCACATTTTAACATTCAACTGGGCTGTTTAAATCATTTATCATTAATATCACACATTTCACTCAATGGTAAACATGAAAAATGGTTTCTCTTTTCATTGGTTTGAATAAAGGTTTCAACTTACCGCATCAACATGGATTGGATGAATGGCAAAGTAAATTGAAGCAATGAACGATTCCCAGAAATGATGAGTAAAACACAAACACAATCTGTTAATTGGGAAACAAAAAGATTAATTATTAATCAACAAAACCATTAAAAGTGAAAATAAGCGTTTACTTGAAAAAATTGACTTAATTTTGCAAAACTAAAAATGAAGATGATGAATAAAAAGTAATTGATAGAAACGATTTCAGCAAATAATAAAAGATTTTACAGTTGAATCGTCAGTAGATTTCGATAACCTTTTCTCGATCCTGGCCAACTCTAAATTTTATGTGCCGACCGTTTTTCGCTTCACGCGTGTTTGCGATCCTAGCTCACGAACTGTTAGTGTTACAGATCTCAGGTTTGTACAACTTCGAATTCGGGTTTTCAAACTTATTCATTATATTTCGTGCATTTGACCTCTGACTGACATTTGAAGGTCATTATCTGAAATTGAAAACTTTGGTTGGTACTTGCTACGAACGCGTAACTTCGAAAATCGGATAATCGATAAATGAGTTTCTTAAAAACAAAATTTGCTTAACTGATGGTCAATTAAACACTCGTATCTTTTCATCAATATGGGTTATAAATCTGATACAAATATTAATAACTATCAACTTAAAAAAGTTAATATTTTCAGATAATGAGTTTAAAATGTCAGTCCGAATAGCTTATTCCATAGGATTTTTATTCTGCACCAATAACAGAAACGTAATTAAGAGAAGCTCGAAGCATGATTCATTTAGTCTTTCAATTTTTGAGCGTTTTTGCTCTATTTTTCTCACATTTTCATGAAAGATATGAAATAACAGATCATGAATCATTATAAATACAATTTTTCATCATGAAATGCGACCTCTTTTCCATTAATCTCCTGTGTCTCTCTGCCTTTGTTTTTTCTGAATATCTTGCGAACAGTAACTTTGACCAAAAATTTTTGTAGTTTGAGATCAGCATGAAATGCTACATCGAAAAAAATTATTCAAAATCACTCGTTTCTTGTAGATTGAGGTGTGAAGAAAAATTGAGCAATAAAATGATTAACGAAACAATATCGTTGTAATAACAGTTGATTTACCAATCTCAAAGTTCAAATGTCCAGCGAAAGTTTCGAAATTTTCTGAAATGAAATTCTGGTCAAACCTTAGTGTTGATACGATAATTGAACAATTAACAGACAATGTTTTCTCAAAGTAAACTTAACCTTTTCCTCAAATTACAATTTATTTCAAATGTCTTGTTTGACTTTGCCTGTAAAACTGCAAAATTGCCATTAGTTTTGTGCTTTTTTTCACCATTTTTTGAGTGTTTTTTTCTCTATTTTCTTGTTTTTATTTCTTTTGCGTTAAAAAGCAAAATTGTTATCAATAAATTTCATAAACTTTTATTCTTGTTGTTTTTTCATTCCAACATTCAACTCAATTCAATGTTATTTGTTTTTTTCTCCTTTTCCCTTTACTTTGCCTTTTCCAGAGTAAAATAAATTACTTTGGTATTCATCTTGATATTTACTTTTCTTGCTCTTCTTTTTTCGCCTCTTCTTCTTCTTCTTCTTCATCATCATCATCTTATTGGAGTATTTTACACAGCAAAGTAAATTGAAAATGAAGGTGGAAAACCTTATCTTGACTCAATGATTTTACTACTATTATTTCATCTTATGAGCTCTTCCTCTTTACCTTCACAAAGAAACAGAAAATTTTCAACGAAAAGAAGCAAAACAACAACAAAAAGCTACTTTGATGAACCATTGCATTTATATTGGCTTATCGTAACATTTCAGATCTTCTTTTCTTCTTCTCACAACAAAAACTCTTCTTCCTCAATTTTGGCCTTCTCTTCCTCTCACACATTCTTCCTCTCATCTTCCTGTTTCAAGTGAAAGTCATTTGTCCACTCTTTTAACCATCAACCAATGACCATTCCAATTGAACCAACTTCAACACCTTAACCAACACTGAGAAAGCTTGTCAAAAGTCATCTTTAATCAACATTCAAAGAAAATAAATTTTCTAAAAAATCGAAAACCAACCAAACTTGAAATTAATGTTTTAATTGCAAGGAAATTCAATTTAGTTTCAATTCTGATTTTCAGTCGACAGCAATTTTCCAATTTCAATATTGAAACTGTTTTCCTGATTTTTCTTCAACTGATTTTGTCTGTTCATTCAACTATCAACTTTGATGAAAATTGTTCAACTTTGCATTTGAAATGTGGCGAAATATCATGCAGAGTGAAAAGAGAAATGAAAATTTTCTTCTCTGCTTTCAAATTGTTGAAATAATTTTACGTTTACTTTCAATGGTACAATGAATTGAACAATTTCACGTTAAAAGTGACACATCAAATTCAGTCATGAGATGAAACAAGAACAAAGCAAAACATGAAGAGCAAAATATTTTTTTTCCTTTTTTTTCTCGTTTGTTTTTTGTCTTTCATCTTCTTGCTTTTCGTGAAAACAAAAGCTATTAGTTTCTTTGGATTTATTTTCTGGGAGTTTAAATCAGGGAGTGAAGGGGAACAAGATGAACATCAAGATGAAGATAAAGATCGTAATGTTGCATCTTTCAAGATTTGTTTACGGTTGAAAAATTATCCATTATACCTTGTCTAAAAGTGAAGAAGACAAAAAACAATTTGGAAGAAAGTAAAGATGATAAAACAGGAATGATAACAGATGATGAGATGGAAAGATGACAATGTCAAATGATTGCTTCGCCTTCCAGACAATGGAAAGGTCAAAATGCTTAAAGTGACCTTAAACAAGGTTAATGTAAAACTGATGTCTAAATGATCATCTTATTCGAGTTAATTTGCAAAAATGGGTCAAGTTTTTATCATTTATCATTTTCTCTGTGGGATTCATTTCAACAGGGATTCTCGAAATATCGCCAGTTTTTCAGATTTTTTAGTTCTTTTTGATTAGATTTGGATTTATTCACATTTTTTGCTTTCAATCAATGATCTATTTCGAGAAATTGAACCAAAAATAGTTTTGTTTACATTCAAATTTTAGTTCACTTTTTTACTCTTATGCTGGTTCTTTGGGAAGGTTAAATGTTATTCATCAAAAGTTCAATTTTTCATCATTTCATTCAAGGCTAGTTAGTTTCAAGTTCTTGAATCATAAACCGTAAACGTAAATACTCCAAGCTTTGCTCTGTGGATACTAAAGTGTTTGCTCAATGGAAATGATATTTTCATGGAAGTTGATTACAAGCAAGAGATTTTAAGTTAACTAAAAAATTAGCCAAATTGATTTAAATCTGGGAAATATTAATGAAAAAATATAAGTGCAATTTTAGTACAAAACTGATATGATTTTGAAATCCTTGTTCAACAAGAAATACTAATAGACAGAAATGGCTGAAACTTTCAACAGGTTAAAGTTGGACTTAAAAAGAGTTGAAGTTAAAGAAGGCTAAAGCATCACATAAGTGAGTAGAATGAAGATTCGTATTGAAATAACGCGATTTTCTGGATTCTTTGTTAACACTTAGTCGAGAAAATTTAAGGCAATTGTACAGCTTTACTTGACTTGGTTCAGATGAAAATCTAAGTTCACAACGTTTCTGAGCTAATCGATCATTCGATTTTTGTCATTGTGTGATTGATTTAGAAATTCAGTCTTAGAATGCTAATTTTCAACCTTAAATAATAACCGAAGACAAATCTGTCTCCTCAAAGGCAATGCTGAAAATCAAATTCTTCAACCTTACTTTGCTTTTCTGATCGAATCTCCCTCATTTCCATTCTATAAAAATTGTAATAAATTCAACTTCTAAGGTGAATCCACAGACGATGCAAAAGATTATCTAAAAAGCGATGTCCAGTTATGTTTCACCACATGAATTAGACATTTGTTTCCAGTCTAACTCTAGAAACTCATTTCTAAACATGTCTCGATTTCCAGACCTTTTGGATGAAATTAATTTTATTTGAAACAAAATGCAAAATCAAAACTGACTCAACGAGAATTGAGCCTGAAACAGGAAGAATTCAAAATGATTGAGTCAATTCGTCCATGAAACTGACTCTTTTCCCATCAAAAGGCGCAAATTTGTTGCTATTAATAGTTTCCACATTTCATGATGACAGGTTTAAACTGAAAATTTTAATTTCCTAATGAATTGTTCCTGTTCTTTGAAGTTGGTTTTTGTTTTGCTTTCAATCAATTCTTTCAACGCTTTGATTAACAATGAAAAATTGATACAAATTTTGAATTGACTGTCTTACCTGAAGAATAATATTGATACAATTGAATGAAGAATATTGTTGACTAAATGATATCCGGTGACTTGTAGACCATGGAGCATGAAATTCCAACGGAAAGTTAATATTGTCAAAGGTCGGTATGATTTATGTGATTCTTCCTGTTATTCAACAGGGAAGGGAAAGAAGAGGAATGATGATGAGGAGGAAAAAAGGTAAAGAGAAAAGAGAAAAGAATAACAAGTTGAAACATTTTTAATGTAAAATTGATGTATACATGAGATTCAAATGTTTCCATTGATGATATTCAAAGGCAAAAATTATAATTGTTATTATCATCCGACTTAATAGGTTTCCTCATGCATTAAAAGGTTTACTTTTTTTTAGCTGACGATAAATTACGAGACAACAAACCAACAATTATTAATGATATTATTATCATCATCAGTATTTAACTAAAAGTACAAGATAAATATTTAGGTAAAGCACTAGGATTTACCTTTGATTATTTAGTTTGTCACTTAATCTTTTAAATTATCATTCCTGGTTTTACAACCATTTTTCCCCTTCTCTTGTTCATCATTTACATTTTTGTTTTGAACCCAATTTTTCAATTCATCATCGAGTCTTCACTCGCCATTATCACCTTTTATTCAGGCTCAGTTATCCTTTTCAGTGGTTTTCTTGTTGTTAAATCACTTTTTCATCTTGTTCAACTCTTTTGTTTTCCCTGCTATTATCAGAGCTCTTCAGTTTCCTGCTGAGCACATGATGCTTAAACACAAAGACAATTAATGATAAACTTTGTGATATCCTTTGGTATCGAAATGAAACTGTCTAAAGGGCCAAATGGGTGAATATCAACAGTTCAATATTCATTGTTGTATAACTTGTCACGTTGAGAATTTGTTTTTTTGTCTTTTCTTTTTCTTCTTTTTCTTCTTTTTTCTGGTTTAAATGTTCTTAGTTCAATGAGGTTACCTGAGGATAATGGTGATGATGGAAGGTGCAAGGTAAAAACAGAAAGATATTGAAAGTAACAAATTAAGGTGAATGAGAAGGAAAATGGTGAATACATTTGCATGATATTGGCTAATATTTATTCTTAATTCTGGGTCATTGAGCATTGAATAAATAGATATTATAATATAGATGAATATATTCTGATAACGAGGTGAAAGTTAACTGTGTTTAACATTATTCACTGTTTATGCACATAACACATGGAAAACATGGGAAAATAAAGGAGAGAAATGAATGAAATAGATTATCATGAAACTAAAAGTCGACTGTTGATAATGGTAATACATTTGCTTGGTATTAATCATAGCAATTTAGATCATTTAATCAATAGCAATCGAGGCTGCTTGCTAAGTTTCTCAAGATTGACTTTCATTTACTGACCAGTCATTACAGTTGCGGTTAAAGTTAAGGTTAAAGACATAATTTTAAGAAACATTTTTCAATCATTTTTTAATAAAATAAAGGTTTTTAATGGAAAATAAAAAGTCAAATCTGAGATTTCATTTAAAATATTCAAATAATGATGAGCTTTGGAGGGAAAAGGCCACTTTTCAATCGATTAAATTGAAATTATTTTCACAAAATTTCTGCTAAAGGAATTGAAATATTGTAAGAAACATGTCAAAATATAATACATATTAATCTCGACCTGTTAGAATCGAAAGAGATTGAAAGGAGAAAAAAAATGTTAGAATTTATTCTCTAATTGCTGATTAGTTAACCAAAGAAGGTAAATTCATTAACTTGTAGAGGAAACGTCGATGAAAAACAAACACTAATTGTGGGAATAAAAACAGTGGGAAAATTAGGTTGGCAGTGTTTTTAATGGAAACAAGTGATGTCTGCGAATCCAAATTTGTAACTTGATCACTGGACTGGCCAAATCTTACCTTGACGATTGGTGTTCCCCAAAAATCGTTGAAAAATATTTTGGTAAAATATGTTTTCTCTGGACAAACATCTTTGTTGTTGATTATGGTTGGTATATCATCGAAAACAAATTCATTGGAAATTGATGGAAGAAAACAAAGAAATGATAAAAGTCCAATCAATGTGATTGCCAGTTGTATCCGATTAATCTTGATCCAGTTCATCGTTTGTTCATGTATTAATGGTCCAATTTTCGAGTTGATACCAGTTGAAACATTTCTGTTTCCACCATTAACATCACTTTTCTGAACAAATGTCAACATTGAACTCTTTATTGGTATCATTGTAATTCCCTAAGTTTTTACAAGATTCTTTTTCGATTCACATGGATTTGTATTTGTAATTTTGTTCACAGTCTTTCACTCGATTCATTCGTAAAGGTTAATGTTCAACATTCTCAAAGTGATGTTTCTCCAGTCTTTCAATTCTCCCTCTCTTCATCATCTTCCTATCAGATGAGTTTGCGTTCCAACCTTGTTTACTGGTTCCACTTAAGGCTTGGGTCAATCAGTCTTCGCGGCTTTATTCCCGGCCTTCATCGGCAACAGTGTCCAACTGTACCCACATGTCCACATGGTGACGATAACTAATACAGAAATGTGAATAAATTGAGAAATTAATATAATTGTTCTTTGGTTATTAACTTACCGTTTGTTGTTGATAATTGGTATCTATGTATGCAGGGCCATCTATTGTGCTGTTTAGTGGTTTATGGTTGAGTCTTTTTTTAAGTCCGTAAGATGGAGGCTTCGTTGATTTGTTATTTTTTAGTTGTTCAAGTGTACATTAGTGTTTAGCTTTTGGGAAAACATCCAATGTCCATTCGTGATAAGTTTCGTGATCAAATACATGATCGCATTAAAGTTCTGGTTCTTGGAGACTCTGGTGTTGGTAAATCATGTTTAATCAACTTGATTTGCAAGACCAACATGTGGTCAAAGCCCAGCTGGACAATTGGTTGTTCAATTGAAATTTTACTTCATCAATTTAATGAAGGAACGCCAAATCATCGAAGTTGTCTGATTGAATTATGGGATATTGGCGGTTACAAGACTCATTCCTCTGCTCGTAGTTTATTTTATCAATCTTATCATGGAATCATCTTGGTTCATGACCTAACTAACCGTAAATCATATCTTAATCTCCGTAAATGGCTTGGAGAGGTACTCTGTACTTCGGAAACCAACGGAACCGTCTCGAATCCAGTTCCATCATCGCCCACATCTTCGGCATTCGTGGCTTCATCATCATCATCATTTTCTTCAACATCATTTGGTGGAACATCTGCTACAAATTATCGTGATCATTCAAATATGTCTGGAACATTCTCACCTACATCATCACCTCTTCTTTCCAATAATTCATCATCTATTCTTTCTTCACCTGACGAATTTGATATTGAATTATTTGCTGGTAGAAATATTCCAGTTCTTATTGTAGGAACTAAAAAGGATCTTCTTGGTTCTGATATACACCGACCACCTCGTCCATCAACCCTAACGGAAGAGTGTGGTGCTTACGAAATTGAAATAAACTGCCTTGATAATAGAGCTTTTGCTCCTGGTTTAACAAATTGTGCTGAAATGACTCGATTTTTTGATAAAGTCATCGAAAGGAAATACACTCTATCTGATCGCCTTAAATCAAATAGTTTATTATTCAACAGCAAAAGATCTTACCTTGATTGAAGCTGATTATTTGATATTATTGTTACCTAAACCTTTCATTTCCAAAAAAACTATGTGATTATGTTATTTATCATTATTAATTGGTTAAATGGTTTATTTTTATTTTGTGTTGGACATAATTGCAAATTATAAGTTGATAAAATCAATTTAAATTGAAACTTTGTCTCTATTTCTTTTGAGTCGACAAGATGTATCCCTTGTTCTGGACGATTCCTTTATGTTTCTGTAAAATGGTATACCTGGCGATCCAAAATCGGGACCAGTTTTGAACATCCTCTATGCCACAGCATGAAATTATTTGATTAAACTTTTCAGTAGATAGAAAATCTAAATCAAATAAGAAAAATGCTTGTATTAAATCATCAGTAGATCAAGAGTTCGAGTATCATCTGAAACTGATGAAATGCTGATTGTTTTGATAATAGAATGTCACCATCATTCAAGAAATATTTTTCAGACTATTATCGGTACTCAATCAATCCTGATGCAATTGAGATAAATCAAACTTATTGATAAAGTAAACTCACCTCGAGGATCATTATGAGTCAGCAATTTGATGTTGTTATTCTGAGCAAAATCTCGCATTTCTGGTGGTATAACGCAACAAGATTCTAGATTAATTTGATTACTGGATGGTTTGATCTGTTTTGCGGATTGGTAAAGTTCGGCCAATTGATCGGTATCCAAATCAGACATGCCAAAGTCTTTAACCTTATTAATTCCAATTTTTTCTGTACATTTCCAAATGCTCTTTATCTTATCCATGGGCAATTTTGTCCCATCAGAGGATTGAATGGCAATTATCAATGAGTCCAGATAGTCCGTGTTTAACATTTCAAGAGCAAAATCAAGGGCATCCTCCAATAAAGTGCATATGTCACTGTAAATGAACAGTTTAATTGTAATTTTACAATTCTCCCTTGTCGTTGGGTCAATTTTATCTTCCCCAGAGAATTTAGAGATTATCAATTTTGAATCTTTGACAACATGATTGATCTTTTTGTTTCTCCAAGCATTGACCGCAATACTCAACCCAGTAACTACCTAAAAATGATAAATCAAAGAAAAAAGTGTTATTATTGAATCTGTCGGATCTGGCGAATAGAGTTTGTCCACTGTTGAAACCATCAAGCAAAATTGATAAACAACTCTTTAATATGGTCAACCAAGACAATAAATTAAGTGTCTTGATCAACGCTAAAATTGTCTTTTCATGAGAATTTGGAACTTTCTCGTATAAATGACTTACCTCTTCATCAGGCAATAATGTTGCTTGCCTTTTAACCTCTTCGACCCTAAGTAGATTGCCACTGTCAATATAAATCTGTCCAATAGATGGTTCAATGTGATTTTGGTCTGTTGAGCTATCCATTTCGATTCGGCTTTAAATACTGATTTCTATGAAATTTGGAGTCTGGATGGAATAACAAGGATAGCTGGAATAATTGTAGGCAAATGAGTTTGACTAATAATTAAAACTGCTCAATAGGTAAGTTAACTTTATTATTACGAGTTCACTTGTGACATTCAATAGATTATCTTTGCTCTCTCTTCTTTCTCTCCCTATACTTTTTTCCAGAATAAGTCGGGTGCTTTTATCAAAATTGATCTTTAAGACCGTGGTAAACAAAGCTTTGATTAGATTTAACAGTATAAAACACTGAAATGATAATCATTTAATGATTATCATAATCCTTGGTTACCATGGCTGAAAATGTAAACAAACATAACATTTTGCAAGTTACCATGTGATTTAATAGCAACACAAAATTTGAAATCTAAGAGTTTATTTTCTTAATTTTATTTTAATCTATTATTTTATTCTCTGTTAGATTACAAGAAATTGAAAGTTTTGTCATCGTTCTCTCAAATTCACTGTCCTCCTATTTAAAGTCCAAAAGTTCATTGATGTCCAATATCAGTGGTAAGTTGTTATTATTTTTCATGCTCTATAGTGCTAAATCTTAAGAAGTTCTTAATAACTACAATTTGAATTTATCTTTATCCTACAGTTATCAATCTGGTGAAAAAATTTAAGACACATTTAAACAAATTCAAAGTACTGTTTAGCCCGGTAAACATGGTCTCTGTAAACGAGTCTCTTCTTAAACCTCCACCATGTGTTGCAAATATGACAAAATTGGATCAGAGTCTTTTCCGTAAATCAGTTAATGTGCCGTATATCGTGGTTGAGGACAAATTTATTCAAGAAATCTCAAAACATCTGAAATCTCAATATTTAACTGTGAAAGGAATTGATACCATCCAGCCGGTGGACTCTGACAATCCAAGTGAAGCTCAAGAACCCAGTTCAACTTTGAAAAAGAAGATAATTTTACTCAATCCAGATCTTGTTAAATCACCAAATGATTTAGATGATAGAGTTAAGAAGGCGCTCATTCAAAAATATGACAAGATACAGTTGTTTGACAAAAGTATCGAGCTAAATTTCCACAATTACAATGCTCATGATATAATGGATGCAGTGTTTCCTGAGGAAGAAAAAAGGGTCAAATCTTGGTCCATCATTGGTCATATTTTGCATGTTAATTTAAGAGATGAAAAGCTATCCCATAAAGAACTAATCGGACAAATTCTTCTCGCGACAAATCCTTCCATTCATATGGTAATCAACAAAGCGGAGATCATAGACACAAAATTTAGGAATTTTTCCCATGAAGTTTTAGCCAAAACACCAGAAGCTGATAAACTTGGTACTATTGTCACAGTTCATTCAAATAATTGTACCTTTAAATTTGATTTCGCCAAGGTTTATTGGAATCCTCGGTTAAGCACTGAACATGGTCGATTCTTGAGTCGTTTAGACAAAAATCGTGATGTAGTTTATGATTTATTTGCTGGGATTGGACCCTTTGCCATTCCAGCTGCCAAAAAGAAGTGTCGAGTTTTGGCTAATGATCTGAACCCTGACGCCTTTTTCTGGTTGCAAGCAAATTCAAAATCAAACAAGGTTGATCAGTATTTGACTGCTTATAACTTGGATGCACGTCATTTTGTCCAATCAGTTGTAAAAAATGATTTAATTTCTTCATGGACTTCGCCAGAGGTAACAGAATATATTATTAAACCAACTTATCACGTACTCATGAACTTACCTGGAATGGCCATCGAGTTTTTAGATGCATTTGTTGGTCTTTTAGCTGAAAAGGCACAGGATGAAACGTTCCGACCATTAGTTATATCTCCTTTGATACATTGTTACACTTTCTTAAAACGAGATCTTAACCCTGTCGAAGCAATCGTCGCATTGGCCGAGGAAAAGATACAATCTAAATTGCCCGATGACTATGAATTAAAGTTGGTCCGAACTGTGGCTCCATTCAAAGACATGTACCGAATCACATTCAAATTACCTAATGACGTTCTTTTCGATACAAGAGTGAACAAAAAACAGAAAACATGTTGATTTTTGCTGTTTATTTAACTTTATTAATTTTATAACATCTCATTAGAGAGCAAAGCTTATTAAAAGTTCTGTTTTATGAACCACTGTAAAGACCAAGAAATCCGCGGGAAAAATATCATTAAGGTAACTGAAGGAGTTAGAGTAAACCAATATTAAGTTGAACTGATACTCGTTGGTATCAACACAATTTTATTTGGTGAAGCAAGTTTCAGAGTCGGAGCTCCAAAAGGGATATCAAAAGGGTTTCTATTTGTTGTCATCAGTTTTTTGGTCAACTTGTACTCCAAATACGTTAAGGTGGTCTGTCAATCCATTTCCAGTTAAAGCACCTGTCAATCCTCCTCCATTAAGTGGAGTCTTGGATGGTTCAACTGATTGATATCCGCCGACATTTACATCACCAAGAACCGAACCATGAGTTATGGTAAAACAAGCCAAAAGAAGAGTCGAAAATACTAAAGCGTTCATTTTGCTGTCGTTGGTTAACTATTTTCAATTTTTTTTAAATTTGGTTAACTCTGATGGATACAGTAGTTGAAATGGTTGTGAATTTGTTCTCTTTAGAAGTTCGCTTTTTATACACTTACCTTGTTTACCTAATTTTTACGCTGATATAGTAATATAGGATCTAATTTGACAAACTAATTAAAAGATAGCAAATCTGGTTAATTTTTAATTGAACCAAACTGGTTGCTGCAAGTAAATCTGTTCATAGAGATCACCGGAAAAAGGAGTATCAAAGGAATACAGTATGAGATATGCATGGTGATATGAGATATGACTGTAAGAGATACATTTTATTAGCTGCAGCAATTGAGTGGCTCTTATTGAGTCATACCGAGCAATTGGACAGTGTCTTAAAATAATCAGCTCCATATTTTTGAGAGTAGCCTTTGGCTCTAATCTAGCTTTAAATCTCTCAATAGTTCCATCAACAGTTTAATTCGTAAACCCATCAACATGAATTCACTCGATCACCTTTTGGTAGCTAAACTAAGTCATAAAGATCATTATCATTTAAAGATTTCATTTACCAATTAACTGAATACTCTGGATTGCTTCATCGTAACTTGAAGGTTCTAAGGTAAGGAATTAGATACATTTTTAAACATGATTGAAACAAAATTTCATCTATGTTTCTTTGAGTAAAGGTTTTCCCAATGACTACTAAAAAAAGTTAATTCAAACCGTAGACATGTACCAAATCATTCAGATTACCTAGAGCCGTTCTTTCCGATAAAATAGTGAACAAAAGACATAAAACATGAGATTTTTGCTGTTTACTGAAATTTATTTATTTTATGTCATCTCATTAGTACAGTGTAGAGAGCAAGACTTAAAAAATTTCTGTTTTTACGAACCACTGTAAAGACCAAGAAATCCGCTTGAAAAATATCATAAAAGTAAACGAAGGCTTTAGAGTAAACCAATATCAAGTTCAAGTGGTGCTCTTCGAGCTCGACCAAGGATACCGAAAGGGCTTCTGGGGGTCTTTTCAGTTGTTTTTGGGTCGATTTGGGCTCCAAGTACGTTAATGTTGTCTGCGACTCCATTTCCAAGTAAAGCACCGGTCAATCCTCCTCCATTGAGTGGAGTCTTGGAGTCAACTGATTGGTATCCGGCAGCATTAACATCACCAAGAAGCGAACCATGAGCCAGGGCAAAACAAGCAACAAGAAGAGTTGAAACTAACAAAGCGTTCATTTTGTTGTCGTTGGTTAACTATTTTCAATTGAATAAATTTAATTAACTTTGATGGATACTGTAGTTGAATCGATTGTGATTTTTCTCTTGTAAAAAGCTCGCTTTTTATACATTTGCCATGCAATAAAAGCCTTATTGAAAAGGAGGTGTTAAATGATCAATAAATTCACCAATTCTTTCGGCCTTTATTATCACTTCTTTTTTTGTCATGAAATTGACGCTAATTATTGGCAACAGTTCCGCGTTTTACAGATCAGCATCACTATAAAATAAACACTAGTTAAATATCTAATGATCTTTGACAGTTTCTCAGTATTTCAATGCCTTTCCAACTTTACAATTGAGTTCAATAGTTTATTACTTTCCTAGACAATTAACCCTTTTGGAACGATCACTAAAATCAATAGTTTTTACGCTGATATAATAATATACAATAATGTAATTTGATAAACCAATTAAAAGATAGCAGATCTAGTTAATTGTTTAACAAACGAGCATATTTATTTTCTCAAAATTGATGTTTCCAATATCACCTATTTTCAGTCGGATTTGATATATTTATTTTTACTACTTCAGAGCAAAGTCTTGTTCAGTTGGGAAAAATGATTGCATTTAGTCTTACAATTAACGATTATTCATCAAGTTTTGCAATCAAAATCATCAATTGTTAAGCATGCAAGAAAGCATTCACTTAAGCTTAAAAATTGGCTCAAATCAACAAGACCATTTTTAGTAGATTGAAGCATAAGATGACCAAAAATTAACATAAAAGTTGAAGTTCAAATGTTTGTTTAAAGTATCAAAACGAAACGAAATGAAATGAAGAGTAAAATGAATGCAATTTAGATTTAGATTTCTTCTGAAGGACCTTTTTGGTCAAAAGGATGAAATGCTTTGAGCATAATAGGAAAATATCCAGAAAAAATCAGCAAATAAAGGTTTAATGAGGGAAATGCGAAGATCTACCATCAGGTTCATTATAAGATCTATTATTATAAGGTTCAAAAGATTTTGAAATTAGTTATTTTTGTGAATTCTGTCTAAACAAGTAGAACTCGATCATTTAATAGTGGGGAAATTGGTTTTTGACTTTCATAGGAAGGGAAAAAGTGCTGTTGATAGCCAAAATGGTTGATATCAATGTGAATTTCATGCGAACAATGGTGTCCAGATTCGTGAAAATATTCCAAGCTGAGATATTCATGAGCTTCCAAGAGCTCACAAGCCAAACTGTCACTTGAAATTGTTGTTAAAATGGAGTGAAATCTGTCCTTCAAATTATCTTATTATAATATGGTTATTTAATTGCCTCAATGATTTAAAGGATTAGCTATGCTCATCTAAATCCAATGATTCATTAGTAATGAATTTTGACTGCATAACCATTTCAGTTATCGTTATGTATAAGCATGCAATACCTTCTGCATTAGTTTTAGTTGTAAAACTACAATAAAATGTTTAATAAAATTGTTCTTTAAATGATATCGTTATGAAATAAGCTCATGTGGACTTTGTCATTATAGCAAATTCCTCCCAAAAATAAAATATAATCACTTCTAGTTGTAACTTACTTTTAAATCTACACTTTCCTGATTAAGTTGGAATTGCATAGCTAATAAAATATGTATAGTCATATACTATTTGAAAATAATTAATAGTAAATGAATACCTTTTTCGATTCAATTCTCCTTGTTACCTGTTTGAACCAAGTCCATTGTAAAGTTATTGATAAAGTTAGTACCATACTCGAAGCAATGAAAAAACAGAAGCTGATGGCGAGACTACAAGTGTATAAGTGGAGTAACTGGTCTTTGGTGATGGACTCGTGATGATTTTAATTTGATTGTTCAGCCCAACAAAGTTTCTAACAATATTTCTAACAAAATGCCTCTCATCTTGCTTGGCTAAAAACAGCAAAATACCTTAGGTTCGAACTGCTGTCGTATCTAATTTAAACTGGGAATTATAATTATTAGCATTAAGATATTATGACCAAATCTCACCTCAAAGAATTTTTATGCCTTTATGATCTTAGGTTGTTGCTAAAAAGATGCAATTAACAAAGTTGTAACATTTATGCACGAATTGTGACAATACTGAAATTGAAATGGGCAAAAACTGGTAAGAATGGATTTCTTTCAAGTTAAGAATCTGTTGGTTTGTAGGGAAATGAAAGCTGAGTCTATTCATGTGATCAAAAGATTTCTCTGGACCACAGTATTCGAGAAAATTGGATTCGAAGTTGAAACTTGCTAAGCTTTTTGCACAATAATGGAAAGCGACTTTTTCATGAAACTCATTTTCCAGTGCTAACTTTTGACAATCAACCAGAAAATGCCCTTATTTTAAGAAATAAAACTTTTCCTTTTCTGTAAAAAACGATGAGTTCGATTTCAATTAAACCGATTTCTCTCTGTGGTCATAAGAGTCAGAGTGCTGAAACATATTGATGATACATAAAAATGGTTTGCACACAACATGGCCCAAATAATTTTCTCTATTTATTGATAGTTCTCTTGATTTGGGCCATTTATCCGAAAACTTATAACCTCGACAGTTCGAGAATGGCATCAGCTATAATCACTATTCTTTCACAAATTCTTTACTAATGAATAGGTCAATACAATTTATTAATTTTCATCAGCGAGCTTAGGCTATTGTTTTTGGGCTTAGAATGTGGAAGCAACAACTTATTCAACAAATCAAACTCATATTAACCAATATCTTGGTAAAACATGCAATTTTCTGGTTTAACTTGCAAATGCAATGCAAAGAGTGCTGCCAAAAGCTCGATCATTTGAGTAAAGAGTTTAGACTTAGATTTATTTGCAGGGAAATTAAAACTGAGTCTATTGGTGCTAATAAATAATTCATCCGATAGACAGTTTTCGAGAAAATTGAGGTCAAAGATGAAACTTCGATCACCTTTTGTGCAAATAGGGAATGAGATTTTTTCATCAAACTCATTTTCCAGAGCTAACTTTCAATGATCAACCAGAAAATGAAATTATTTTTAGAGATAAAGTCTTATGTTCAAAATAAAACACATAAGTTCGATTTTTACTTAAACCGATCGATCTCTGAGACCATATCAGTTAAAGAGCTGGAACTTATTATTTGTTGATAAAAATTGTTGGGTGCCATTATGGATTGAATAATTTTTTCAATTCACCAACTGTTCTCTAGATTTTGGTCATTTATCTTAAAAATTTGGACCTCAATAGTTCGACAATGGTAGCACCTACAATCATAAATCTTTGACCAAGCATTAGATTTTATTATGGGCTATGACATATTTCAATTGTAGTATCTTCAATGGACTACAAATTAAGTTATAACATCGTATTAGTTAGGTTGGTAGATTTGATACCAGATCAACAAAGATAATGTTTACTCATTATGTGTTAGAATAATTTGCATTATTAAATGAATCAGCTTAGATTCCTGCGGTTTTCTGTAATATTAGGCTATAGCTTATAACAAAATCTAATGCTTGGTCAAAGATTTATGGTTGTAGGTGCTTCCATTGTCGAACTATTGAGGTCCAAATTTTCTAGGTAAATGGCCAAAATCTAGAGAACAGTTGGTAAACTGAAAAAATTATTCAATCCATGGTTTAGTCTAACAATTTTTATCAATGAATAATAAGTTTCAGCTCGTTAACTGATATGGTCTCAGAGATAGATCGGTTTAAGTAAAAATCGACCTTATGTGTTTTATTTTGAACATAAGACTTTATCTCTAAAAATAATTGCATTTTCTGGTTGATCCTTAAAAGTAAGCTCTGGAAAATGAGTTTGATGAAAAAATCTCATTCCCTATTTGCACAAAAGGCGATCGAAGTTTCATCTTTGACCTCAATTTTCTCGAAAACTGTCTATCGGATGAATTATTTGTTAGTACCAATAGACTCAGTTTTAATTTCCGTGCAAATAAATCTAAGTCTCAACTCTTTACTCAAATGATCGAGCTTTTGGCAGCACTCTTTGCATTGCATTTGCAAGTTAAACCAGAAAATTGCTTTATTTACCAAGATATTGGTTAAAATGAGTTTGTTTTGTTGAATAAGTTGCTGCTCGTGCATCAAGAGCCCAAATATTGTAACTTAAATGCAAAAATGTACCATTATTAAATTGAATTGAGGGTTTAATTGGTGAAGGATTGTATTGGTGAAAGAACGATGGCTGTAGGTGAAGCCATTCTCGAAATATCGAGGCTAAAAGTTTCTAAGTAAATGACCGAAACCAAGCGAACTGTTGGTAAATTGAAAAAAATATTTAACTAATGATGTTAACCAGCGATTTTTTACTAACAATAATAAGTTTCAGCTCTTATATTCTTGCGGTCATAGAATGCTGAAGGTTTAACTTAAAATCGAACTTATCTATTTTTTCAGAAAAAGAGAATTTTATTTCTAAAAATAGGTTAATTTTCTGGTTGACAATCAAAAGTTACATCAGAAGAATAAGTTTCATGAAAGAATCCGCTTCACTATCTGCACAAAAGGCGATCGAAGTTTCAAATTCGGAATCGCTTTTCTCAAAAACTGTCCTTCGAGGAAATTTTTGCATCGCATGAATGGACTTAGCTTTCATTTTGCTACAAACTAACAGAACCCAAATTTGAAAGACATTAATTTTTACCCGTTTTGCCAATTTGTATTTGATTTTTTAATGGGATAATTGTGTTGATTGTGTCTTTTTAGTAACAATTATGTTTTTATAACAACTTTCAAAATTTGAATTTCGTAAATTTTGCTATAATCGCTAATTTTTCGGTCGAAATGCTCATAACAAGATAAATTTTATATTTTTGGATTAAATTAAATGAAACACAGTTGAATATACATTAAATTTGTATTTGTTTTATTTATTAAACAACATTTATCGTTAAAATGAATGTGAAAATGAAACAGCAGCAAAATAGTTTCAATCATTCCCAATGTTACGCTTTTTGTTTTGTGATTTTGATGAACAATGAATTGAACTTTTATGATTGATTTATAATTACAAAATCAAGGAATGAATTAGAAAGGTTATTTGATATGAAAAAGGTAACATAAGAATACAAGTTTTGTTTGGTTTCATAAAGATGAAAAATTGAAAGAAAACAAAACATTAAATCCAATTTTTAGTTATAAATATATTTATAAATATATTTCTCTGTTTTTTGGTTAACGTTATGTTTTCAGTTTTGATATTGATAGCTCAGAATTGTGATTTTTATAAAATTAATCATTTTATAAAATATACTCGATGCAAAAAAATACATTTCATTGTGTTTTCGTAAATATAAAAGTGTTTAGGAAAAAAGGGTAAGAAAATATGAAAATGGATGGTTAGAAAACTTTGTTTTCTGGATAACAATTAATAATCATCAAATCAGATCGTCGCTTCTTTGATTATCGTTTGGTAATTTTCCTGGCAAGCAATGATTTCTGTGGAAGATATTGATGAGAAAAATGTGTAAAAGGCAATAAATGGTAATGATAGGTGAAAATTTTGATGATCATTGTGTGCAATTGAGAAAAAGATCATAAAGTTTCATGTTTTAGCCAGAATTAACAAAAACTTAATCAAACAAAAAACAAAAAAAAACAAAATATTTCTTAATCAAGTTGAAGTTATTTTTCACATATTCGGTTGAATATGAGTTTAATCTCCAAATAAGATGACCCCAGAGCATTGGAAGGTAAGGAGCAGGGCTAAAAGGTAAGAATAGAGAAACAAATATAAGGTTAGAATATGAAAGTCATAAAAATCTTGATAGTCTAATGATTAGATTAATCAGCAGTTCTAATGACTCCAGATAGATCTGATCAATGACCGTGACTCTTACCGTTTCGGCATTTCTTTCTTTGGATAATATCCTGAAAATGTAGCTACTTCGTAAATAAAGTCCAATTGGAATACGAAAGCTTGGATGAACCTCAGCAACAGGTAAATGCTCAGTGGGTCGATGATATGAATGGGGAACTGATCCTGGTGGAAGTGATGGACATGAGATGGGAGGCTCGCTGTACTCGCAGTTATCCACTTTCAGTGCGGTACTCAGACTAAACGATTAATAATGAAATAATGAAAGTTAGTTAAATCATCAGATTAAATAATTGCCAGAGTGAATGAAAAGAGTCATTACCTGAATTGTAATGTTACATATTCATGGGACATGTACTTTGAAATTGGAATAAGATATGTTAGTAATGGACCTGACTGTTGTACACATTGCCAAGTATCACAAAATTCACGACCAATGGTAGCATTGAGCTCAATGAGTTTGATTGAATCGACCCAATCAGATAATCGATTTGTACCAGTTTGATATTTATCTCTTGGATCTTGTCGAGTAATTCGATCTTCTCTTGTCTCTCGTTTTTCACGAAACTCTTCTGCTTTGGAGTACAACATGCTTGGTGGTTGATGTGAATTGAAGGAAACAAATTTGTCATTTGAAAAACGATCCACTTTAGCGGCAATATGTTGATCAATTGGATCCATTGATTGAGACGAAGAATTATTTGATTCAATGGTTGAGTAGTTGAAGCTGTTGTCGACGGCTAAGTTGTTGATATGAGAACCAGTCTCGATGCCGGGCGAAATATTATTAACACTACTAGAGGGTCCAATATCATTAAGGTACCTTCCATGGTTAGCGCGAGAAGAAACCTCTTCCAAGACGTGATTATTGATTGCCGTTTTGATTGGAATGGTAACTGGACTTTTGGGATTTTGTGTACTAGATATAACAGCAGGCAGTGAAGATATATCTACAGTAGAAGATGCTTGTGAAGTGACTGAAGGAGATCGGGCAGATTGTGTTGTGAGTTCAACTGAAAATTGAGTTGATGACGATGATGGGACTAATGGTTGGTCTTTAATTCGATTTTCTTCTTCCTCATTCAATTCTAGCATATCTTTTGATTTAGTGTCAGTTTCAATCTCTTTCGGTGATCTATAATTTGGCTTATCTATTGATGATGGAGCTAAAAATGGATTCGAATCATCTGGCGAGTCATCTTTTAACGGATTATTTATAATAACTTCATCACTTTTATAAGCCATACAGCAATGAGTATTACATAGAGAACTAGCGGTTTGAGTGCTAGCACATCTCTTCGACTCGCCAAGTACTCTAGGTTTTAAGATTGGAATCGATGCTGGTTTGGTTGACTTTGATCCAGCTTGTTCTGTTTATTCAAAGGGAATAAAATGTAATGGATTATAAGACTAACGTATTTTTAATAAGTTATTAAGAATTACAAAATTAAACTTACGTTGAACATTTGAAGGATTAGTCTTGTCTGAAGGATATTTTTCAAACTCAGAAGGAGCTTCACTAGATGATTTTGAAAGTTGGTCTATTTGTTTTTTAATATCCACTGTAAAATGTGATATTGTTGGTGGTGTTGAAAAATTGGGAGACGATGGATGTGTCGGTCGAGGTGATGAGGGCGAATATGAGTATGAAGGATGATGTAGAGATGATTGACTAACATGACTATTATTATTTATAGAAAATTGATTGTGTTGTGGAGAAAATTGATGATCAATTTTATGATGAGATGGAGAATCCATTTGATTTGTATGACGACGAGGAAAATCGAGAATGTAGAGTGTAACAATTGAGGCCAAACTAGAAAAATTAAAAAAAAAATAAAATTTCATTAGATAATGTAAACAGCTGTGAAAGTTTTCACCGTTTAAATCAAAATTGTTCATTTTACTTACCAAAAAGCCATGATTAAGACCAAAATCATTATTATAGATTGCATGAATCGATTGGTACAAACTTGATTATCCTCTGGACTTGCATGTTTTGAACATTTGCGTCTTTGATTTTCATAATTATGAGGTAATTTACAAGTGAGTCTTTTGTTATTAGGTCCAGAACTGTAGCTTTTGAGAAAATAGAAACCAATTAATATTGCAAATTTTTGAAAATCAATGCTTGATTAAAATTGAAAACTATCTATATTTGCCACTTACTTGGATATACAGGTGACAGTGCTTGCACTGGTTATTGATGAAGTAGATGATAAAATACTTTTGATGCTGTCAAAACGATTAATCCTACGTAATTTACGATTCATTCGTTCCAACTCATCAATTCGAGTCTCTAAATTGTCAGTAACTTTACACAGTTCTTTTACAGCGCCCACATTTTCCATAAAAATCCTTTCTTTATTAACAACCAATAATTTTTCAATTCTTTCACCAGAAGGTAATATGACATCTCCTGTTTCTTTGATGGCATCCGGAAGTATTTTTTGAATTTCTTGAGCAATGATACCTGTCCCATTGATGTCTTCATCTTTCAATCCAACTTGTTGAGCAAACTCGGGTGTAAATTGATACCGAACAACTCTAATATTGGCTACATTTTGTAATTGTTCCCGGGTCGATATTTCTTCAATATTTGTTTTCGCCCGAATATCTGAAGGTTGAATAATATGACCAGTGACTTTAACATTACCATGAACTACTAACGGTTCGTCAGGTCTATCAGTGTTGATACCAACTCGACCAGCGTGATAAATGGATTCAGGAGTATGACCCTTTTGCCAAGATAGCTCCATGTCATTTTCAAATTGTCCTGGATTGGATGCCTAGTTATAATAAAGTCAAAATAAAAGTATAAGAAAATATATCAACTTGAAAAGTAAAGAGTATATATGTAAATGTATTTATTAATGAACTTACTCGAACAATAATGCGTTCAGAAGCATGGCTCACGATAGGATAAGATTGGTCACCAACATGAGCACAAAGGCTAACAACTAGATAAAAATATCTTTGATCAGGATTGGGTTTACCCTTTTTCCTCATATTATTTGATGTTGTCTCACTAAAATGTAAACGACCCACTGTTGTTTTAGATACTTGATCAGGACATAATTCAATTCTAAGATAAAAATAAAAAGGTATGTAATTAGAAAGAAAATTAGATGAAGATTAATTTACAAATAGCAAATTTGAAAATGCTTTACTTACAATACTGGGTGAAATGGTTTTTTACTTCTGTCTGATTGTGACTGTTCAACTTTGATTGTTTGACTCGGTGATTCTACTTTAACTCCATAAAAGTGAAGATAAAAATTGTCTACTTTACGAACAGCGTCCGGTGTTTTCACAAATTGGGGATCACCGATAGGCTGAACGTGCACTGTCACTTGAAAATGATTCTTTTTCTGACAAACAAATGCATCATCGGCATTGCTAAAGTTAAATCCTTTATCAGCATCCACTCTGTAATTAGGTACAGGTCTGTGGAAAAATTGGAAAAATAATAATGAAAATAGTAAGATGGAAATTAATTGACATTAGATTCAGTTGATTCAATAGGCGCTTACAATTCTTTCAAAGACGCATCACATAATGTATGCCAAGCTGTCTGTTGGAATACTTGAAATCTTATACATTGATATGCGGAGTCGAGGTATACACTTGGAGGTCCATCAGTTGTCGTATTATAATCGAATCCATACTCTTCTTCCATGGATACCATTACAGTCCCATTATTTCCAGGTTCTGGAGACATTCCACCCGGTTCTTGTTTAATATGAACCATACTGTTGCTGTTGATTAATTGATTATTGGGCACATTTTTCGGAGATTCTGATATACGACGTTTCTTTGTACCAGATGATGTTTGATCTCCATTTGATTGATTATTTGGTTGGGTTCCATTGGTTATTACAACATCACCTTGTTCACCAATATTCTCACCATTTCCACAATTAGTCCCACCAATGTAATCATCATTTGCTCCGGAGTACAGTGAAGTTAAATGAGGCTGACCGGAAGGTGGTGAGGACATAATACTGGGCGATTGTAAATTAATTGGACCTGTTATCATAGCTGACCCTAAATGACTTAAGATTCCTTCATCTGGATGGCTTTGAATTTGTCCACCAAGATTATGGAGAGTATTGATATGATTCAATGTACCATTTCGGGCCTGCTTTGAAATATTAAATATTAATAAAAGTAAATGAATAAAATATATCGTAATTTTATGTGAGCTGGCTCACAAATTTGAAACTTACCGACTGTAAGTGGTTCTGTGTTAATGTTAAATCAATTTCAGGACTTTGCAAGTGTTTAATTTGATTATTTGAATAATGGTTAAAGTGTTTTGAGCTATCAATAGTACCTGATTGCATCATTTTATTTGTAATTTGTTGAGAATTTTGATTAGTATTATTTGCATTTGTCGAACCAATATTTCCTTGGTTAGAGGTATTCATTCGATTCTCATCATTTGGCGGTGAATAAGGTGGCTCTGAGCCTGAATCTGGCGGACTTTCCGGTGTATGATGAAGATGTTTACTAAATAATGATATCGTTTGATGATGGTGATGTTGCTGCTGCTGTTGATGGTGAAGGTGATGATGGGGCTGAGAATGTTGGATTTGTTGCTGCTGATGTGGATGGTGAGGATGAGAATGGTGATGCTGTTGATGTGGTGCTTGATGATGTGAAAGATGATGATGTTGGTGGTGAAGGTGCTGATGATTGGCTTGAATTTGTGATAAATGATGAATTGATTGACTGTTCTCTGGTTCACCTCCATTGTCTGAACCTACAACACTATTACCATTTGCGCCAGGATTACTGGGATGATCTATCGGAAGATTTGAACCTTGATTAATTTGTACAGAAGAACGAACACCAGAAGGATTTACACTAGCTGGTCCACTAGGAGTTGTGATGGTCACGTTAGATATTCTATTCATTGAACCTACTGAACCTTTGTTAACAGATTGAGATGAGGATACCAAAGACTGCTGAACGGCTTCACCGGGTATTAGGCGTCCTCCACCTCCTCCATTACCATTTCCAATGTTCAAATGACCAGAAGACACTTTGAGATTAGCTGATCTTGGGGAATCAGGCAGTTTAAGATCCGCAGTCACCAAATTATCATTAAAGTAACTGTGTCCATGAGAGAAACTTATGAGAATATTGGAAAAAAGGCGAAAATTGGGCAAAAGTAAGGGTCAGTAAGTCAGGTTACTCGGTTTATTTACACTGATGTTGTTGACATAAAACAGAAATTCAATTTTTGGCAATCATTTCAATTTTAAGTTGATTATTGATAAAGATCAAATACTGTATTTCCTAACTTGCGAAAAGGCAGTAAAACAATAAAGTAGAAAGCAACTTACTTGATATTATTCAGAAAGTCTTTGTATTCTCTATGATTCATTAGGCAATTTCTTTGTAATCACACTCTTATTAAAGTATCTTTCTAAATTGTTTCAATTACAGCAGTTGTTAACACAGTTTCAGTTCAAAACATAAAATCAAACTGATTTTTTAAGTAAACTCAAAGATCTATATTAACAGGTGGAGGCAAGAGTTAATCTTTGCCCAATTAATCACCATTGTTAGCAAACACAAGAAAAATAACTTTGAACTTGTAAATCATCCATCTGTCTGTCTCTTCTTCACATTTCGCCCTTCAATGTAAGTAAAAGCACTTCTTAACATTTATTTTTAATAATTTTGGCAAATTACGACCATTGGAGTTGGGATCATCAAGTCACTTCACCACTTCAACTTTCACCGCACAGCATAAAGGTAAGAAATGAAATGATGACTAAGGTAAGTTAAAATTTTTACTCAAAACGGTTACAATTCTTGATTCTTCTATAATCTGACTCCTTGCTTCAAAATTTAATTTTACTGTCTATCCCAATTGATTGACATTGTTGACCAAACAAAAGATAAAACTATTAACAGTAAAACATTGCATGTACCTCATGTTTTACTGTTACACCAACGATATGAGCTATTGAAAAGTCTCAATATTTTCAAGAATTGTTTCCCTTTTTTTATTGATTCCTCTTTTAACAAGCTTTTCACTCAAAATCTCTTTTTACTTGCATTTTATTTCAGTTAACCATTGAAATCACAAGATTTCGATGTTTGGTATCAATGATCTATAAGTGCATGGCAGAGCAAAAAGCCTCACCAACTCCTTTTAATGTGACTGACGGTTAATGATGGAAAAACAAAACATATTATTTAACACAATACAAATTTGAAGAGAAAAAGGAATCATCAAGATGACATGAAACCAGGAGCAAGGTAATACTTAGTTGATTTTAATTAATTAACTTCAACCATCATGGTACATTGTTAAACGAGTAAACAGACTCAGGCTGACTTTGTAGGCAAAGTTCAACCGTTTTCTGTTTCCTAATACATTGTTACCAAAATCTCTTTCACCGAAAGTGTTAGTCGCCTGATTACAATTACACCATTCATCATCATTTTTATCAATTTCCACTAGAATATCAATTAATTGTTGCAATCATTTCTCTTCATTTCTAAATCTAGATTCACAACTCTCAAGCAAATCTCTATTCTGACATGGAACCAAACATCTCAACTCATTGATTTCTTTGATTGTCAATCACGGAAATTGGAATTTTTGGTGGTGAAAAAGCAATTCATCTCACAATGGAATGATATTTTTCCCAATCAAAATCCAATTTCGATTTTAATTGATCTCACTTGGAAAGATTACTGACAGCTGATGTTGAATCAGATTTTAATGCCATTTCTGAATCAATCAAGCAAACAAGAAGGCGCGAGAGTTAAAAAAGTGACAATCATCTTTAACAAGAATTATCATCATCATCATCAACTGATAACCTTTTGATTAGAAACAGAAAAAGGTTTAAAATTGAGTTTATCTAAAGGTTGAATCCATCGAATTTTCAAACTCAAACAATTTCAACATGAAAATTGAAGCAATTTAAAGCAAATGTAAATCAAGTTAACATTCAATCAACGATAAAAAAACACGTTAACTCAACAAGAAAAGACAATATCATTTGATCATGTAACATATTAACATGCTAATGTATTTTAAATGAATTAACTTTCTCTCCTTCATCTATCTTGATTACTGATTAGCTTACTCTTTCACTCTCACGATTGATCAAATTTTTCAAGTAATCAGGGCATGTAAGGTTTATCCAGCCGTTAACAATATCAATATGTATACTTATATTGAATAAATGTGATACTTTAAATATACATTTATGTACATGATATTTGTACACCAACCAATCCTTAATACAAGAAGATTCAGTCGATTGTCAATAGACCAATTCATATTGATTTCATTCACTTTCACATCTCGTTTTCAAATCAAAATCAATCCTTTCAAAAGTTAATCATTTATGAATGTACAAATTCATGTCATCATCAACATAATCTATACAGAATCAGCTCTCTCCTCAATACTTTACAACCAAATATAAACATTTTAAATGTTTAGCCAATACAATTATACAATTTGAAGAGACAGTTCAAGTTTAAATTCAACTGCACAACAGTGCAGCAAACAATCATTGAATTAACAGCCAGTTAACAGTTAATTCAGCCACCAAGCTACCCATTCAATTGAAGAATCAACTGTTTATCATATTTGATTATTTATACCAACACTGGTTAAAATGCAAAGCACGTTCAATCAACAGCATTTCATTCAACTTGAATTCACTGAAAGCTTTCATTCACACCTTTTTCATCCCAAAGCAAATCTCACAGATTTACCTGATCAACCTTTAATCCCAGCCAAACCATTCCTGTTAAGCTAAACATTTATATTTTCAAATCTTTTAAAATCAACATTTCAATATTCATTCCATGTTACATTCAACTGTCAATTCAAAATAATATTCAAGCTATGAGTCGCAATATCATTATAAATTGTGATATTACTTTCAATCTTCATAATCAAAATAAAATACACTTACAATTAGCTAGATTTATGGCATCAGCGTAACAGCGATTTCGGCCAAATAGCCAATCTTAAAGGCTAACCAGAAAAAAATTTCAATGTTTTCATCTTTCAATAGCTTACAATGTTTTGTTCAAAATCATCTTTACATGGAGTATTATTTACTATAATTATTTTTACAATTAACCTTTCCAATGATTTACTGCGCTATTATGCGTTTACTTTTTTGGTGTTTACTTTTTTTCTGAGCCCTTTTTAGCAACAATTTAAATATCATTTGGCCCTACCTTTAGTAAATTGTAATTCATTTTCAACTCTTGTTACTAATCGTAAAAATTGTAATTTTTCAATGTTATATTACTTCCTATTATGATATTGAACAAGCCTGTTAAACCTGAATTTTTTGCCAAAGAAACTGCAACTTTCATTTACTTTCTTAAAACCAGTTTCAATGGTCAGTCAATAATCAATATGAGTTGAAATGCCAATTTTTAGTTGCCCTGTGATTGCTAATTGTACTCATCAGTGAAGATGATACAAATGAAAAGTAATTAAATTAATTGATAAAATTACTTACATTGATTCGTTTGGATCTTCCTCGTCATTTATGTAATCTTCAAGTTGACTGAAATCCAAAGTTGCATTATCAATTCCCAAAAAATCAACTCGACCTGATCAAATAGAGAGAATTAGTGAATTTCTGTGACAAAAATTTCATGTTATCTCATTCGATTGAAACATTGATTACAACAAAGCTTTTAATATCAAATAGCCAAGACAAAATACAATGTAGTCAATGTTAAAATGAAAATATGCAAAATGGTAAAAAATTTAATGTCATTATCCATTCAGGTTGACAAACGTTAGCTGTTAGAGCCTCTACATCCATTTAAAACCTAAAAATTCAGGCCTTTTCAATTCAACTTCAATTTAAATTCATCATTCTTCATGCAGTTAGACTTATTTCGATAAAATTTCTCAAAATTTCCAAGATCTTTGAGCTTGTAAATAAGTATCTGACACTTTTAACAATTTGCCCAGCTTTAGTTAACAAAAATCCATATAATTTTGTACTTTAAGTTAAATCAAACCAGTTTTTGTTACAATAATGCAAAAACCTAACAATTTGAACTTGAAGTTAATCGCTTAAAGCATTTGCTTCATTGGTAAACTATATGAGTTGATTTAATCAATTTTAGTTACCATATGATTAATTTGAACCAACAATTGCTTGATCTCATCAGGCTGTTTATTATCGTTCATTCATCAGAATCAAACTTTGACGCAAATTTGTTCAATTTTGCCTTTTTCTTAAACAATTTAATCGAGTGAAAGTTTAGCAATTACCAATTTTGATCATCAAATTTATCAAACTCATCTTGAGTCTTGTTAATGGCTCAATAATAATAGCCTAATGGTTTGAGTTGAACTTGGGTTTAGTCGCGACTTTGAACCCAAACTGAAAAATCTAACCAAATATAACTGACTATCTGGTTCAGAAATTAATGGAAAAACGACTTTATTTCAACCAATTTTTGTCTCCAATGATTTTATAATGAAACTTTGCACTTATCTTTCATTTGCTAACCAGTATTAATAGCAATCAATGTGAAACAAATTCATTTTTAATGCACTTTGAAAAGCAATCAAATGTTTGAAATGAAACAATTGCGTTGATTAACAAGTTGTATGAAGTAAATTTGTTTTGAAACACTTGAAAAGCATTTCCTTACAATTTACTTTTAATATAAAATAATAGTAAACCAAACAAAATTATCATTACCAATATAAATGAAGTTGATTGTTTACTGGAAATTAATTGTTGCTTTCAAAGGTAAAGTTGATGATAAATGGATATAAAATGTTAACAATGTTGGAAACTTGTAATACATGGAAATATAAAAGAGAAGAAGAAGTTAATTTTCTTGAAAAAAAGATCTTCTCATCTTGATTACACCTTATTCGGAAAACACCAGAATTTTCATCAACATCACATTCATCTAACAAACAAAAACAGCAAATTGTTTCTTTTACTCTTTCCATGATATTAAAGTTTCTCATAAACAATGTTAATATTATTTATAAACACTTTCATGAAACTATCAACTACGGAACTGAAATAATAGTAGGAAATAATAAGATTCATGATATTCAAAGGTTAAACTTTCCTATCAATGATAACCATTGAGAAAGGTAAGAGTTAACATTGCTTTTTGCTCTTTTTCCTCACAATTTATCATATTAATTTAAATTGATGATGATTATGGTGTTTACAATGAACCTTTGAGCGATGAACAATTGAAATAAGTCTTGAATGAGTGTTGACATGGGAAAAAGGTTGATAAATTGATTAACATTTTCAAACTTGAAATTAAAACTTGCAAAGGTTAACTCAAGATTTACTGATTATGTGTGAATAAACGCTTGTATTAATTTATTCACCCGTAGTTAGCTTATTTAATTAACTAGACAATTTTGATTTAAAAGATGACAGAAACTGATTTCTACCTTTTGAAATCTTCCAACAATTTAAAACAAATTAATATCTGAATGGTTAGAAGTGTCAATGGAAGCAATGAGATTGTCAATGGTAAGAATAGCTTGTCGTTTTGTTTCATTGTACCACTTGCTATGGGCTTGGCTATGGAGGCTTGATTGTAATTATTGGATTGTCTATTGATTGCTATTAATTTGTATCAACACAGTAATGGCTTTAATCATGTGTGTCAAAGTTAGAAGCAAATTGATGGTAAAAAAAGGTAATAAACCAAAATAAATTGTCACCTTAACTATTAACCTGCCTTTGATATAAGACTATTTGTAACAATGAGTTTGATAACATTACAATTTTAACTTGGTAACTGGTAATGATTGGGTTAAATTAAGTTTACTTTTTGATTGTCAATTTGGGTCACATAATCAGTTTAAAATTCAGGGTCAAAAAGTTATCATTATTCAGTATTTTTTGCTATTCTTGAATATGCTGCAGTTGTTTACCTGAAAGTCTCAGTCATTTGTTTTTCAACGCTATTTGTTTTGTTTTTGCGTGTTTTTTACTGGCCTTTTCTTGCTCTTGATTAAATCCTTTGGTTTTATATCTTTTTGTTTCAATTATCAATGCACAATTGATTCACAATTGTCACCCAAAATTGGTGAGGTTTGAAATAAAAAATTGGGTAAAAACGGCCAAATCAGTCAAAACAAGTATATTGACCTTTACATTGTTGACTTGATCAATTGTTGATATCTATTCACGCTGTAACCTGAGTTTTTTGTTGTTGATTTTTCAATTGCATATTCACAAATTAAATTGTAACTATTGAAGGCTTAATTTATATTGATTTAATTTTCATCAGGAATTACATCATTTTTAATTCTTGATAGTTTATTTAGTGGGAAAAAACTGTGAAAATAGCTTTAAGCTTATCTAGCGAGCCGCAAAAATGGAGGTTATGTCAGGTTATTCACAGATGATGCCATCTTTGATTTTTTAGTTATATCTTGTCTTGGCTGTTTTTTATTAATCTTAATCACTTTGCTAATTATTTTTATATTTGTGTTGATATTATTGTATTTAATATTCCCTCAAAGATGTATAAATGAGGATAAACTTACCAGAGGAAGACATTTTGTTATCCACTTTGATTTTAAAGCTGTTTGTTAAACCCTTAAATTGAACTGTAACAATATTCCAGTAAAGTTTTCACCAACATTTTATTACAACACAAAGACAAGCTGAAAATGGAAACCAAAATTAAACTTGAAAATATTCTTTGGATATTTGGACAACAATTTAAATATCACATAGATTGGAATTGTTATGCTGATGGCTGATATCGTTGATTTGGGAAAATATCACAAAGTTGAATTCACACTTGTTGCTGATGTCTTGGAAGATGGAGCAAAAAATAACTGATTATCCGTAAAAGTTGGTAATCATTTTCATCCAGTTGTTACAAAAAATATCAAAGATTCCTGGCGATGGTAGAAAAGGTAAAAGCCATATTAAACATGACGAGACTTGGAATTGCTGTTATAACAAGGTTGACTTTGAACTTGAAGTTATTTGGGAAAACTGGAGAAAGCAAACTCTTGGTGTTTCTGGTGGTGTAACGTTGTAAAGTTGAAATTAAACTGCGTGGTTCAAACAAACAATCAGTTCGAGGTTGATTATTACAGGATCTAAATGGTTTCGATGTTGTCACTGTTGTTTAGTTGAAAAAAAGAAGACAAGCAAAATAAGAATGGTAATAATTACAATAAGAATTGATTCAGTGATTCAACTCTCTTTCTCTCTCCCCGTCTCTCTCTCTGCGTTCGTGATTCAATAAGCAAATAACTTTATTAACGTTTAACTATTATTGTTGATGTTGTTGTTGACAATAATAATAATGAACGATATCAAGGTGTGACTTAATCTTAACCATATAAACACAAATCAATAACACAAAACATAATTTGAATAGAGAGGGGCAAAAAGAGAGAGAGAGAGTTTGATGTGATGATATCTAAATCACTCTTCTTTACTCTCCGTTTCTTGATACTTACTCTCTCTCACTACCTAACTTCACTCACCTTTCCTCTTTCTTTTTTACTTTCATCATCATACTCATCTTCTTTCTCTCTTCTTTACTTTCACAATTTACCTTTACCTTCTAGTTCAACATTTTTCAGGAAGGGAATATACCTTGAAGGCGGAACAAGAAAATACCAAGAAAGCTGGAAAAAAAGAGATGATGATAGAGAAGGAAAAGAAGATAAGAAAGTTGTCGAAAGGCAGATAGACAGGAAAAAAAGTAGAGAGTGTTAAAATCCAGTCTAAGGTCATTCACATCGGGTCCACTCACACGTCACTCACATGGTATATTTAAAGGAGCAAAGGAAACCTCATCATCAACTCATCTATCCATTGTCAAAAATATAATATTGTTTTGTTGTTTTGTCCGATTCTTGCTTCTAATTGTTAATTAGACATCAAACACCTGATAGTTAACACTATAACCAGATATATATTGATGGGTGTATAGTTAATTGACAATTAGTAAATTATAGCAAGTCTCAAGGTCCCGATTGTTGTTGTTTTGCTGTTACTTTCTGCCAATCTCTCATGCATTGAACCAAAGTTACTTGCTGCACCAAATTTGGTTGTTGGGTTAAACTGTAAAGCAAAATCCATCAAATCAAATTGTGCAATGTAACCAGTAGACACTTAGTCCTGTTAGTCTAGCAATTTAATCATAAATTTGAATATATTCATTAATCATTCAACAGCGATCAACTAGAATTTTGCAAAAAAGTTGTTTACTTTCACAAAAAAAACAATTTCTGATTGCTTGGCAAAAGTACTCTAAATGTATCAATCTAGACTCGAAAAAGATTATCTGTCACAAATTGTAACAAATACATGGATTTGAACATTGATAATAATCTTTTCTATTCTGGTCCTCCAATGATTGATATTATTAATAACAATAATCCATGTTAATTACAATTTCGTGTAACATAAGAATGGTCATTTTTCAAGCCTAAGAATTGCAATTTTAAAGATTGCAATTTTTCTCATTTCATTCCTTCTTTACCTTCTTCTTGTTCATCATTTTTTAAGTTACATGTTTACTTTTTCTCTTTCTCTTTCCTTTTTCTCCTTCTCCTTCTTACCTCTTCAACCTTAGTTCAATTTCTTGTTCAGCCCATCATCTTACCTGAGCTCATCTTCCGCAACATCTAAAGACCAGGCCAACAAGAAAATAATGATAATAATAATGAAAAGATGCTGAGTCTTTCACTGTTGTTTATACATTGAATCCAATGAAAGTCATCATTGTGGCCAGAAAAAGAAGACCGGTTTTTTGAGCAATAAAACGTGGTTACCGTCATGCTGACCTTTTCCAGTTAACTTACACAAGTTCATCGTTATCCAAAATATTTCTCACTCTCGCCATGTTTTCCTTCTCTCTCTTTTTCTCTCTCCATCATCATCATCATTTTTGTTGCTATTCAAACCCTAAGGAAGAGAGTAGAGACAATTTTTCAATTATTATTACTTTCGATTACATTTTTCTTGTTGTTTTGGGCTTTTCAAGATCATGATGGTCAATTTATACAATACACAGATGAAATGCTGAATTGAACAAGAAAAAAGGGCAAAAAAAACCAACAGCCATGTTAATTAAAAGGTTGAATAATGATGATAAGCCTTTTATTGCTCCATTATCTAATATTAAATTGTTATGTTAATTATTGAAATAATGAATCCATCTGTTGAATAATTTGGCAGTAAACATTATTGAATTGTTAATACAACTCCAATCCCTTGTTAAAAGCCAATCCAAAGCCAGCGACCAACAAATTATCAAATTACAAAAGCATTTCCTTGTTTACATTGATTTGCAAAATGATTTACAGCTATTGTTATTCAATTGTTAAACACTTTAAATACTAGTCTTCAACAATTAACCCATCAATTGTTAAAATCAATAATAAACGACAAACAATGACAATCCTTGATAAATATCTTTCAACCCATGTTTTACCATGTTAGGCCATTCACTTGAAAATGATTATACTGAGCAACATTGAAATAGTAAACCAGTTAATTGTTATCAACCGATGACAGCTCATTGTACAATCAATATTTAAATATAATTTCAAGTTATTTTTGCTCTAATAACCTTAAACTTGATCTCTTTAGATGAAAACATTAAAAGCTTTCCCTTTTCATGTCAAAACAAAAAAGGTTAACAAATTTTGACTGTTTACAGTTACATTGATGTTTGAGCAAAAGTCTACCTAATTAAGGTAATTAAATTGAAGTCAAATCTCAATTGATTTACCAGCTTTTAATAGTGATATTAATAATGAGAGTGGCAAAAAAAATAGACTCAAAAAATTAGCTCAAAGTTTGCTTATAATTTGACTTTTTGCTCAACCAAAGATCAACTACCGATTTAGCCTTTAATTGTTATTAAATTGTCCACAATATAATTGGTGTAAGTGAAGCAAAAAACAAACAAAATCAAGATATCAAATTAAAAGCTGGCGATATAATAATAGAAGTGATTAAAGTTAAATGAAGGCTGACATTGAATCTCATTCAAAATCAATGTCAACAAAATAATTTCATTTTTAAGTCAATCATTTTAGATTCAAATTTAAACTCAATTTGCGTCTTTCTCTATTAAAACATCATTACATTGCACTTAACCATTAATCAGTAAATATTATTATGTACATTTACAAACCTTAATCATTATCATTACAAACAATTGACCTGAAAAAGGTTTTTCATTGTGTTACCCTTTTTTTTCTTAATACATTTGTCAACGTTGAAACCCATTGACAATAACAAAAAAGGCAAATGTTTACCTTTTGTTTTGTTATTTGTAGTTATCAATTAATTAGATACAATCCGTTTATTGTGTTGACATTAATCGACAAATTAAAGGCTAATGACAGTCAATTAATTGCTTGTAAAGTTGGTTTAATCACTTGCAAAGAAAGGCATAAAACACTGTTTTAAATTATTAACAAACCAAATCAAGTTCAACCTCTTACTGGTAATAATAGAAGCACCAGTTTTGTGAAAATGTAAAGAGCGCGACTTTCAATTTACCCAGAGATTTACAGTAAATTGAATGTTGTGTCAAATGTAAATCTCAACATTTGATCAACAATTGTTATTGAATTGATAAGAAACAAGTACATTTACTGGTGCATTAATCAAGACATGATTAACGATGTAACGTTAATGATTAGTTAAAATGATCGCTCCTTTAACAGTTTACTCGTTTGCAAGTTTTCAATTTCAAGATCAATTGAACTGAAAGATGAGCCTGAGAATGAAAACAATAGTAAATTACCTTAATTGGAATGATGAGTGAATATTAATAGAAATATTGACGATTAGAAGGGTTTCTCATTGTCCCGTGAAAATGTATATATATTGTCATTAACAATCCAAATACACGACAATTGCCTTTAATTGTTGAGGTTGCCAGAGTTTAAAGTGAACCAGTAAACAATAGTTAACATCTTATTATCACTCACTTTACGCCATTTGCTTATTTTCATTTCTTTTTCATGCTTTTCTCACTATTATTGGTGAAAAATATTATTATTACAGTTAATTGTTAATCATGTTGATGTTGCAATGAATATCAAAATAAAGGTGTAAACCTGAGTTTCATTGAATGTTAAAATTAAAGCCTTTCAATAGGCTTTACCCTGAAACAAGTAAACTGTTGATATATCGTTCTGTTTGGGGGTTTTTATCCTCATCTTGATGACAATTAATTGAAATGGCTCAATGATTCTGCAAATGATATTTTACTATTAAAAAAGGATGATGATGATGATGATGATGACAAAACGAAAGGGAAAGGTAATGTTAATGCATCAATTAAACGCTCCTTCAAACAGCTTTACAAGTCAAGTTTAGATGGAAACAATGATTAAACTTGACTTTCACTAACAGCTAAATTAACTGTTTGTTAAACTTTGTTCATAACATTCTTGGTTAAATACATTATTGATTGTTCAAGTTGTTTCAAATGCTGGTTGTAGCTTCATCTCATGTTTGGCTTGGGATGGCAATCACACCTTTATAATGTAACTATTATTAACTCATTGATTGTAACATTGTCATAAACCTTATTATTTTTTTTCATTAACACGGTTTGATCTGCTTTTTTTGGGTAACAATATGCATACAAATGTTTGCATTAATCAGGTTCAACCCAATGATAATGAAATGTAAACAATTGTTAAGGATAACTGTTGACACTTGAGAGAGTTCATGTTGGGTTGCTATTCAACAATCAAGATGAAAACAATTGATTAAGAATAATCCTGAAGCCATGTTAATTTCAATTAAACGCTTTAGTCTGGCTTATCAGCAACTTTCCGCAAGGCTGAGACTCTTCGGCTACTACAGTTCAAATTATAGCATTTGGTTAACAATTAAATCTACAATATTTAACATGCTTAATTTTGGTTAAAATCACTAGATTCTTGAATTTGTCTCAATCCTTTGCTCTGGATATCGGACGTTGTCTATGAAGAAAATTATTCATGAAGAGCCAAAATTGCTTTCCTTCATTTCAATGAATCTTCCATGTGGTCTTGAAATTTCCCTTACTATCCTTTTAGTCCAGTTACATATTTTTACGGAATTTAATGCATTTTTCTTGATTTATTTCATACATTGTGCATTTATACATTTAGTACATTGTACCAATGAATAGATCTTATGATTTGGAATCAATGGAAGTGAATAATCAATTCTTTCTCTGATTTCATCGAGCAAATGATCTTTAAAAGCCGTAACCTTTTGTGTAATAATTGTAACCAATGCTTTGATGGCCATAGTAATCAACTGCATGCTCAACAAAACGTGTGTTAAAGAGTGTGAATTGTAAACCATGAAAGCCAGACAAATCAATGGTTACCCGATTATTAACGTCTGTTTTAGTTTAACAAGGTTGTTATCTTTAGATAAACAATTTCAAACCTTCAAATTCACCAGATCATCATGTCAATACAACCGTTTTAAAAACTGCTTTGAAGGTTTTCTGCTAAATTAATAGTGTCGTCTTGAAGTTAGACGTAATTAAGAATTTCATTTTAAGAATGAATCATTCTTATCTCGATGAAAGATATGAACACCAAGATCGATGGGTGTCTGCGACAAAAAACACCAAAATTCCTTTGCAGTTTATTTATGGTCCAGCTGATCCAGTTAACCCAGCACCATTCGAAGAAATGTATCATAAACTTATTCCAAATCAATATTTTGACAAATTAGATGATAATATTGGACATTATCCTCATTTTGAAGCGCCCGAAGAGGTTGTCAAAAGACTAAATCAATTTTTAAAGAAAAAAGGCTTTTGACTTTTCAGAGCTTTAATGGTACAAATTTGTTAATCATGTTTTTAATCGATTCTTTTATGAATTTACACATTCTGATAAACAATGGTGAAAAATAATGTTTAATAAACACTGTTGAAAGCATATGAATTTGAAAGATCATTTTGTGTTTTTATTTGCTGAATGAAATGGTATTTTGATCAAAAATTCACATCAAAAGGTTAAGTATCAGGAATTGTTATATATTCAGTAATACAATTAAGAACTAGAGAATTTCTTATGCATTTCGTTGTAGTGTCTGATTCCACCTTCCATTAATTTTGTATAATCTGATTGTTTTTCGTTCAGATTGAAGTATCCAGCCGCGTTCGCATTCGAATTTTCAAGGCTAACTCGTTCCATAAGTTCTGTCATGATTTGTTCCTCCGACGGATAATCAATTGTAAGATTGTCAGGACTGTTCTCAGTTTCCATCTCTTCTGTTTCCAGATTGAAAAGCTCCAATTTAATAGACTCATATTCAATATATTCTTGTAAATTTTTTACTAAAAGAAGAAGAGAATTAATATTTTTACATTAACTTGAATTCATAACTACTTACACAATGTTTGGCCTCTGGACAGTATTGGCTGAGCTTTTAAAATCCCATTTTCCAGTACAATTAATTTGGGTTCCATTTTAACACCAATCTGCTCATAAATATCTTCCATTTGCTTGCATCTTTCGATTACACCTCCAAGTTTTCGTTTGAATTCACTGTGTTTAACTCGAGAAGCTTGAGTTTCCTTTGAAATTGAAGCGATCTTCCTATTAAGTTCAGCAATTCTGTCAACTTTAGATGTTTCACTAGTTGAACTTGAAGTTTCACTATAATTACAATCACTCATACCTTCACAGTCAAACAATTTACCATCAGATTCACTATCGATTAACGAATTATTATCCATGATAGAAATTGATAAAACAAAATTGAAATCAGATTGAAACCAAAACAATTTCAAAACAACAATAGATTAACATAGAAAACCATTTCGAATATTTTGTTAATTTATTTTGTAAATGATCAAAACAAGTTACGACATCTAGCGGAGTATAAACAAAGCTCCTCATCAAAAATTAAGATTTAAATTGATCACAAAAACCATAAACTTGAAAAATTTGGAAAGTCGTCATTTCTTGAAGTTTTTTGCAATTAAATCATTTTTGCTTCAATCGGATATTAGTTTCAGCTCAACTTTTGAGTCTAAAATACCTACAGCACAAGGCTAAATATATGTACATTGTTTTTTAAAGCCTGGCGTATTGTATCTGATGGGTTAGCTCAATTAGACCGTGGATAAAAAGACTGTGTAAATAAGTGAGAAGATAAAGTCTGAAGATCAGTATAAAAATAATGTCTTCATATTGAAAATCGGACCTTACTTGGGCCACTAACCTGTTTCTTTGAAGCTAACGATGACCATTTGGAGCCACTCGAAGACGATAGTATGGGAATATGTGATAAACCTAGAAAAGGATTTCAATCTGGACAATTGTTTTCAACATTTTAAAAATTTCCTGTAATGTTTCTGTTTTTTAGGCATATTTGCTTTACCTGCCTTGCAAACAAAGTGAATTGATTTGAAAGTGAATTGCTTATTGAACTAAAAATTGGCGAGAAATGAAGATTTGATCATGTATAAACTAATTGAATGATAAACTTTGAAAAAACCGTATAATTGAGTGATAGACAGTCATTTAAGCAAATCAAATCAATTTAGATGAAATAAAACTGATGATCAAATTAATAAATGACAGGAAAGGAGATCTTTACATTGTAAACCAGGTGAGCCAAAAAAACCTCACCCGTTTTACCTAATTTCAAATAGACACTCAGGTGACCTTGGTCAAAGTGGAACAAGTTTTTGTTTTGTTGACTCGACGATGATGATGAAGATAAATAAAGAGGAAAACGGTAAGAATCACGTACAAGATGACAAGTATTTATGAGGTAAAAAACGGTAGACAAAAGCAAGTAAATCAAAATAAGAAGCAAAGATGTGTTAAACAATTGACTTATTAGACCTAATTTTTTCAAGAGCAGTGCAGTTGCATGATAATCAAGTGACAGTTGAATCTCCAATAATTATCTCGATAATGAAAAATAATCATAAAATCATTAAGAATATAAACCATGAATAATTTAAAAAACCATCCATGATACTTGTATTAGTCTATGTAGAGTTGAACCAAGAATCAATGCATAATTGTAAACGGTTGCATTTAATTTAATGGTCTATTGATTTGTTTGATTTATCATCTCAATGACAGTCAGTCAACAGTTAATCTTGATTAGTGGAGATGAGAAAGGTTACCTTGCAGGTTAATTGTGTCCTCTTAATTTTCCCAGATTACTTAGATACTTTTGCTGGGCAATATCGTTCTTGTTTATCTTAAGGTGACCAAGTGAGAAACAAAAAAATATTAACCTTTTATAAGCTCAATTTGAAAAGCCTTGATCCATGACCTGGTAACCTTGCTTTTGGGTTGCTTTATTATTGTTAATTGCCATTAACTTGAATCTTAATGAGGAAAAGTCAACCACAAAAAAAGAGAGATAAAGAAAAATATGAAATGTTGAAACCTTGAATAAATATAAATATACTGATGATGAATACACCTTAACCTTGTCAGAATTAACAGCTCCATGATAACTTGTTGTTTTATGACACAAATTTTCGGGCTCCCTAAAAATTAAAAGTGATCATCACTTTCCATCACCATTAACAGCTCCATTATCATCATTATTATCATCACTTTCACTAGTTTCACTTTCTCCCAATTTTTTGTTGTTGTTGCTCCCGTTGATATTGGAAATGGTCGACACTAAAAAAGCCATTTCATTAGGTCAGATCTTTTTCTGTAACCTTTATATCCATACATAATACATTCAATTTTTGTCATTTTAAGTCGTGTGGCCACAATTGACTTCATTTTCAATCAATTGAATCAACTTTCAGTCTTTTTGGAAAACAATTTAATCCATTTTTTGCTTCCATTCTTGTCTTGAACCTGATTAAACGATTTCCTTTCGTGCGCGCGTATTAGTTTTCGTGTCTATTGTTGGCATTTTTCATGTTTACTGCGTCAACTTTCAATCGTCGATCCATATTTATGTGAAAAGTTTACAAGTTGAGACAAGGATTAGTTGAATTGGCCAAAAATCTTAACAGTTTCTTCAACCATACGACAATCTTGAATAACATCATGGAAATCAAGGTAATGAAGAATGGTGTTTTGTGATAAAACTTGATAATTATCGATTTCTCCACAGTTAGTATGATTGTTCCCTCTGTTTTTCAATGTCATCCAAATCCATATTGTGTGCGTGTGTGTGTTTACCCCACTGGCTTTAGTTGTCAATCAAGAGTGTCGTCAATCTTTTGTTTTCAATTTTCTTGTTTATTTGTGATATCAATAATGCTTATGTATTTTTTTGCTTCTCGTCAATGTTTCTCTTCCTATGGACGCCATTAGTTAACGTGTTGGATTGTTTTAGTGGTCCTTTGTCTCGTCATGTTAATTGTTAAATCTATTGATGGTTCAATCGCTTATTTCGAGTCCTATGGTTGGCCAAGCTACGGGATTGTTAAACCATTCTGGATGAGACCATTTTCAGAGTATCCTGCTCGTTCAATTTCTGGCTATTCTAGGAAACATTTTGTCCGTTCAGCTGGAATCATATTAGGATCGAGTAGCTATTGAATAAGAAAAATTAAATGCAACAAATCACCGGCCATTTAAATATGGAAGGTTTTGACATATATTTATAAATCCATCTACTCACCTTGAAATCGCTGATCACTATTTAATTTTCATCTTCATTCAGCTCACTTTATGCAATAATTTTCATGTATATAATCAGTTAAAATTAACTTATTAACCATATTTGAATTCATTGGTAAACAATGGCAATTCAATGTATCCGAGCCATTGCCATTTCAAAATTGCCATTAACTGTACAATCATTAACATTTTATATCCCCCTTAGAGTTCCTTGTATAAATAATAAAAATTAATTAATTTGAATGCGGCAACATTACGATATTTCCGAATCCAATGATCAAAGCTGTTATCAAATGCATTTGAAACACTTTTTTTAATCTAATTCATTGTTATTTCTCCTCTTCAATGTGAGATAATTAGTTTTAATTATCTGTTTAATCTCACATGAGGTAGACTATTGAGTTTAATCTAGAAAAAAATGATAAATTAAGTGTTTGAATCTTATTTTGGCACACAGAGAGATGAAGATATAATACAAATGAGCTGGAGAATTCTGAATGAATTGACTCAGCTTTTGGATGATTAGAAAGAATAAAAGTTGACAAAGGTTGATATAATGACAAAAGTTAGTTTATGTATAACCCAAGAAATTACAATTACAATATTAGAACAATTAAAAAATAGCTAAAGTTGTCTTATTTATCAATTAATTTTTTGTTCTTTGTGAAAATAACAAGCTCATAATGCAACAAAAGTTATGGTAATGATTCTATGAGGAGGATAATGATGATAAAAATTGAATCAGATTGTAGGCCACAATTTTACTCCTATTGGAATGAGAAAAAAACTTCATTTTCTGCAACTTAACATAATCAACATAAAATAATAAACCGAAGAAAAAAGCAAAATTTCATCAGATTGATTTCTTTCTGACTTAAATCATATAAAACAGGCTTAAAATGTTTCAAATAATAAGATAATTATTTTACTCAAACTAGAAAGCCTTGCCCTAGGATGATTATGACAAGAGAAGATAACTGTTGGACGAAAACATTGACCTTACTTGGTAACTTGGTGCATTGCATGAGCAAGGTAATCAACATTTTTAGATGAAACACCAGCAACAGAAATCCTACCATCTTTTGTTAAATAAACACTAAACTCTTTGATAAGTCTTTCAACTTGATCAGGTGTCATTCCGGTGTAACAGAACATTCCGATTTGATCAGTAATATGGTCCCATGATCTACTTGATCCTTCGCGTTGCAATCCTTCTTTAAGTTTGTGTCTCATGGCGAAAATTCGATCGGACATGATCTTAATATCGTTTAACCATTCTGATCTAAGAGATGGGTCATTTAAAACCGTAGACGCAATACGAGCTCCGTGAACTGGTGGATTAGAATACATTGGTCTGATTATAATTTTAAGCTGTGACATTGCTCGCGCTGCTTCGTCTTTGGAGGAACACACCAAGGAGAATGCACCAGTTCTTTCACCATATAAACCCATATTTTTGGCAAATGATTGAGCCAGCGCAACCTGATGACCGTCTTCAATAAACAAACGTAAGGCATAGGCATCACGAGTTATATCACCAGTGGCAAATCCTTGGTAAGCCATATCGAAGAATGGGAATAGATTCCTGGCTTTGATTACTTTTGACATTTCCTTCCATTGCTCCGGCTGCAAAAATAGAAAGAGAGAAAGTTAGTATTTAAGAGAAAGAGGGTGAAAATTAAAATGAGAATATAAAAATATTCACCAAGGAGATTGGAATTGAGATTAAAAATGAAATAAGAGATTAACCAATTGAGAGTTTGAAAAACACTAAATAGTCTGATTCATAGCTAACATTGATAGTATGTTAGTATAAAATTACCTTAGGATCAACTCCCGTAGGATTGTGAGCACAGGCATGAAGAAGAACAATTGACTTTTCAGAAACTTTAGCTAAATCTTGTAAAGCACCGGTAAAATCGAATCCACAAGTTTTGGGTTCAAAATACCTGTACTGTTTAACAGTGAGACCGGCTCTTTTAAAGATTGGAATATGGTTTCCCCAAGTTGGTGTTGGCATGTAAATCTCTTTCACTCCAGGGAAAAATTGAGCTAAGAAATGAGCTCCAATGGTAAGTGATCCTGTACCGGAGATTCCTTGAACTGTTGCATTCAATCCTTCTTTAATAACGTGGCTGTCTTCACCAAAAGCCAATTTAGCTGCAGATGCACAAAAATCAGGAACGCCAGCAATTCCAGCATACTCTTTGTCTAAATTTTTGTTATACAATATTTCTTCAGCTTTCTTAACACAGGGTAAAATGAAAGGTTTACCATCATCGTCACGATAGGCTCCAACTGATAGATTCATCTTTTTATCCGATGGATCCTTCTTAAAAGCTTCAGTAACTCCTAAAATGGCATCCGGTGGGCCCATTTCCACTCCACTCCACCAGCTGGAATACTTGGAGGTTAGCGAATTTGGTAAACATAGTTTATTTTTACACACTCTAAGGGCAAATAAATTAGCTGATTTACTCAACATGTTAACAAAATTTGCACAAGATTTTCGTTTGTAACAATAAAAAAATATATTAGATGAGAATGAAAGGTGTAATGAAACAAATTAAATGAAACAACAAATTAACAGATTAACTTGATTTAAATCTAAAATAGATTTAATGATCCAATATGATTTTCAGAGGATTTCAATCTCTTTGCCAAGTCTTAAAATTACAGAGACAAGCGCCATCTTCTGCAATCATACTTTTATCTTCCGGTGTTTACTATTGTTGTGATATCATGAATAAACTCTAAGATTTCATAAACGGAACAACTTGTTAATCGCAATTTATTTAAGTTATGAAATGTTATTAAATTATTAATTGCGACCTTCGGACAATCGAATGAATAACGAAAATAAAATTCATCTTAAAATCGCCATCTATCGGCTCAATTTTTTTCAAACCAATACATTAGTACAACTTTCTATGCACAGATGGCCGTCAATTTTTTCACCAACCAAAAAATAAAATCCATTTTCATTTCAACTCTCAACTTTTCTTTGTGGACACATTGGTTTAATTATCATTTCGATCTGTCTTGTCATCGTTTATTTTGTCAATTATCGTCAGTCAATCGAAGGTCAGTGTCCATCTGAATCGGTAAAGTACATTTTTTCCCCTCTAATGTTGAATACAAGTTCAACCATTTTTTTCTAACAAACCTTGCCTTTTCCTCTCTTTCGGTCTTCCCTCTCCCCTTCTTTCTCTCTCTCTGTTCTAAACATTTTCTTTGCCTTCACAAATCAAACCTTTTCTGACTCTCTTTTCTCTCTCTTTCTCTTTCTCTATTTTTCTTTTTTGTCTTACTCTCAACTGTTCTTTCTCTCAACTCTCATCACCACAGCCATCATCCAGCAATACATAATACTTCACTGATTTACTTGAAAAACCGTTTTACTATTGCGAATTTTGTTTCACTCAACTGACTTTCATTTTTGTTATTGTTTTAAAATTTGCTGTTTAAATTGATAGTTATCAATTTACCTTCTCATCTTGGAACTTTAAATAGTAAACAGTATTTAAAAAGAAATGACTTACAGTCGGAATAGAGTTTTCATTGGAGGTATCTCGTCTTCAACATCCAAAGACGAGATTGAAAGAGAGTTTGCTAAATATGGAAGACTCAATTCAGTCTGGGTAGCCCAAAATCCTCCTGGATTTGCTTTTGTTGAATACGAAGATGGTAGAGATGCCCAAGAAGCTGTTAAACAATTAAATGGTACTGCTTTATTTGATGACAACAAAGTAAGTCTCTGGTCAATTTTATAAATAACATTTAATATTTAAATCAAATGCACAGCCCTCGCCATGTTTTTTTCAGTTGCAACAAACACACAATGTTTCATCTCTTAGCCGCCATTTAATCCACACATTTGCCTCACCATTCTTGCTCTTTCTCTAATAATTCTTTTTTTTACCTTGTATCCACATTTATTTTTTTTGCAAATTTGCTCTCAAAATTCAAAATTTATGTTTAGTCGCCTTTTATTTTACCTTAGTTCATCTATCAGATTCATAAATCATGGCTTCTTGCAATTTACTCTCTTCTCCTCATTGAATTTACAGCGTTTATTGTAGTCATAAGATGTTTATAGTTATAGTATTCAGAATTAGTTGAAATTAATATATTATTAATCTTCTCAAAGGTTCGAGTTGAACACTCTCGAGATCGTCCCTCAGGTCGAGGTAGATCTGACCGGGGCTCTGGACGCACTATGGGTAAGTGAATTTTATTATTTGAGTTTCTTTTTTTTGACGAGTAGTATCATCAACTTTTTAATCTATCCTAGGGTCCCGAGGCCGAGGAGGTTCAGGAGGCGGAAGCTTTAGCCGAGGCGGCGGCGGCGGCGGAAGTAGTTTCCGCAGCTCTCGAGGAGGCGGAAGTTTCCGTGGCGGCTCTAGCAGTGGAAGTTCTAGCCGATACTCTGAATCCCGAAACGGAAGCAGTAGTCGTTATGGCTCTTCCTCTTCTTCTAAAGACAAATATGGGTCCAGTGGAGGTGGATCTTCAAGCTACAGCAGTTATCGTAGCAGATCACCCATAGGTCACAGCAGTTCAAGATACTGATCCTTGTTTTTGCTACAACTTATAAAGCTGAAGAGAATCGAAAAAGGAAAATAGAAAAAAGAATGCTTTAACGCCAAGTCAAGTGATGGAGGAAAGCTATGAGCTAAAGATCATAGGCAAACTTAAAGAAACAAGCAACCCTTCCCGTCCCAATTAATTTAAATCATTCTAAGTTATTTGGGAGTGCCATTTGTTCCCCGTTCTCCCTTCACCTTGCAACCTCTTCAACACTGATTCGCTGACAATGTCTCTTTGTTTCTATCTATTACGCGTTTCTTTTCTCCAAATCCAATTCAATTCAATATCCACTCACAACCACACATGCAACATATACATACACTAAACAACCGCAACCGCAACCACAACCACAACCACATACAAGCAAAAAACACCTCTCTTTTTCTCTTTCTTTTCCTTCATATTATATTCTTCTCACGACTTTTGTGACTGGATTCTAAGTGTAGACACGATTTCGTTCATCGTATCATCATTCAATGGGCAAGCTTGGAAGCAATCAAAGCAAAGCAAAGAACAAAGGTCCATCTGAAAGGAGTTATTTAACCATCTTACTCTAAATATTGATTTCACTTGAGTGATTCTAGGTATCCAAAAAGTAAACAAAATATCCATGATTTCCCTCTTCAATCAAACAATCATATAATTATATACACATTCAAAAAACTTCAAACGCAATTGGAAACAAAATCATTTACCTATCTCTCATTTTACCGTCTCTCCATTTCCTTCAAAATCAATCAAAATATGATTCAATGATTCGCATCTGCATGGATTTATTCACGACTTTTAATTCAATCCAATAAATACACACACACAAACACACTTCTACAATCAATCAGAAACAACCAGATGAATCTGCCGGTCTAATCGTCGTCTAAGCTCATTGATTGGTGTTCGTCAATTTTCCCATTCATTTCTATTATCAATCTTCTAATTTAATTATCGCAAAAAAGACTTCGAATCAGGTTTCCTATTGAGATCAGAATTGATTGAAGCAATCTAAGTTAATATCAAGTTCCCTGATTCAGTGTGATATTCAATCTCTCCAATGCCTTCAATCTCGTTAAGACTTTCTTCAATCAATCTCGAGCAGATAATTTCTCCTTAAATTAATCTTCATACGAGAAAAATTAATTTTAATCTCTAATTCACACTTAATCAAGATGCATAGACAATTAAAGTGACCATTTTTATCCATCTCTTTTCTAATCAACAAGCTATAACAATCAGTAACTGTGATATACACAATCTATACACATTTGGATTCAGATGCACAGACAACTATTTATTGAATATTAAACGAAAAATTAACTATCGCTAATAATAGCCAATTAAGGAGAATTGCCCTCTATAAATCAAATCAAATCAATTAATTACTTAAAGACAGCAATGATAAATTTAAGAATCACTCTTAATCAACTGAACCTCGCTTTCTGGTTGTTGGTTGTTTCATTCACGAGTCCATTAACTAAATCTTCAGTAAGTCACAAATGCTTTAAAAAATGCAAGCTTATGGATTAATCGCTAGAAATTTCATTAATTCGCTCTCATCAATAATGAATTGGATATGGTGAATGCTGTTAATTAGAACAATTAGTTTCATTGAAAGGTTTATTTCTCGACTAATCCGTGGTTTTAATTCCCAGGGTAAGCCATTATCATTTTTTATTTTTATTTTACTTTTATTTTTCCTTTAACAATCAATGTTAACAAAATTTTCTGCTAACCATTACTGTAACCATGACTTTTTTGACTTCTATACGATTATCCAAGTGATATCATGTTACTCCATCAGTTTTGAAAACCAGATTTCTGGTTCAACTCAAAGACAAACCTATTTTGCACATGTTGAGAATCTTAATAATGCACCAATTACTGTTTAAATATTGATATTTTCTGATAGTCTGACTGTTGTTCATTCATTGATGCTAGAATCGTTAGACATTTTATGGCAAATGTAAATGTGGCAATTAATTACTATTACAACCAGGTATTCAATTTCTTGTAGAAAGAGATAGGAAATAAAGTCGACAGAGAACTGGAAGACACAAAGAAATGAGAGAAAGAGAGAGAGAAAAGAGAGCCTGCTTTGAGTTGCTATTTTCTGACTTGTTTGTCTGCATCGTCTCTGAATGTGATGTTTCAAATCCAAACTGTGAATGTAAATTGTTTTCTTCCTTGATTGTTTCTTTTCTATCAGTTCATTGATTTCTTATTTCATCTTATTAGTCTTTAATTTAAAATTGTTTTCACTATTAGCCACAAGCAATTTAAATTAGTTTGTTCTTTATGCATTGCTGTTGTCACCACTTTTAATATCAAGTCTGGAGCTCATTAAATTCAGAGAAGAATGGTTGATTTGAGGAGGTATGTTATGCTTTCACATGTAATCCTTCCATTATTTTTTTCAAATATTGTAATCACACTTAATTAGGGAATGATTCATCTTTCCGTGATGACAGTTGTTGATTTGGATTGTCTAGTAATTGGTCCGTTCAATGCCAGCTGTCAAATATGTTTTCTTTCATTTGATATTTTGCCAAATCTACAAAGATTAGCTGCTCATGCTTCTTCTTCATCTCTCTTGAATATTTTGGTAGCTTCAGTTAATTCATCTTCGTTGCATTTTGGTCCAGTCTAATTGATTTTCTTTTCTCTTTCTTCTTACAGATTCGATGTTTATCGAAAAATACCTAAAGATTTGAAGGAAGATCCTACAAATACTGGAGCAATTATATCACTATGTTGCTGTTTCTTCATAACTTTCCTATTCTTCTCCGAACTCTTCGCATATTTATCTCTGGAAGTGTAAGTTGGTCGATATTTTCTCTCCGTTTTTTTGGTGTTAGATGAAGACCACGTATTTTTGTTCAGTGACCTTTGTTATCTCCTTTTGATGGTGATCACAAAAAGTGTTGACGATGATTTCACCAACTAATTCTACCTCGCAATGTGGTCATCTAACCGAAACAATTTATTTTTTCTTCTCAGAAAACTTGTCACTTCGCTCACTCATCCTCCTTTTTTTATCTTTTTATACAGTGTCAGTGAACTTTATGTTGAAAGCTCAGAAAATGATTCCAATGAAAAAATAGCCGTGCAATTGAATATTACTCTTCCAAAGCTTTCATGCTCTGGTATGTTTTTCATTAATGTTTAATTTAAAGATGATTTTCATTGTATATTTTTCATTTTAGCTGTCGGTTTGGATATTCAAGATGATATGGGACGACATGAGGTAATTACAAGTTTATGCATCAGCGAAGAACCATACCAGCTCAATTTCGCCTTACGATTTTGTATAACACTAGGCATATTCTTTAGATAGCTGCAGTTTCAATAACTTATAGCCTACCATAATCAACACTAGACCATTATTACATATTGAGGCTTCTGAGGTTACAGATGTTAAACATCAAAGTTTTGTTTGTTGTCATGAAATTATGAGATAAAAAACAGTTCATTTTGCATCTTTAGTTTATTATGATCAGCTTAAAAAAATCTGTTTTAATATTAATTTGAAAAACCTTCCCATAACAGAATCACTAATCAAATTTTATCCATTTTCTGTATTCTATAATAGGTTGGATTTGTTGAGAATACCAACAAAATTGTTTTGAACGAGGGTAAAGGATGTAGATTTGAAGGAAAATTCTATATCAATAAAGTTCCCGGTAATTTCCATGTATCAACACATTCCGCTGCTAATCAACCAGCTGATATTGACATGAGTCATTTTATTGATGAACTTATGTTTGGTGACGATGTTAGTCAACTTGGTCTAACTGGTGGTTTCAATACACTCCGTGGCAAGGATAAAACAAATGTACAAGGTAATCTTTGGAGAAAATAGGACAAATCAGTTTAATCATGTATACCTTTATTCTAATTAATTTTTCTCTTCTATCTACAGCTATCGAATCTCATGAGTATCATATGAAAATAGTGCCTACAATCTATGAGGACAACAAAGGAACCAAACTGCAATCTTTTCAGTATACATCTGCATACAAAAGCTTCTTATCCTTCCATCACACCGGTCGCATGATGCCTGCTATCTGGTTCCGTTATGATCTGAACCCAATCACTGTTAAATATAGTAGAAGGCGAAAACACTTCTATACTTTTCTAACCTCAGTATGTGCCATTATTGGAGGCACATGCACAGTCGCGAGTCTAATTTATTCAATAATTTTTACAACCTCTAAATACTTTCGAAAACACGAAATTGGAAAACTGAGCTAGTCTTAAATATTTTTATATCTTTTAATTTTGTGATATATCCAATGAAAGTTTATGTTAACATCATTTTGTCCATTATTTAACGTTATTTTACATAAAAATTAGCTCATAATGAACACAGCTTTTTATCTGATTAAGTTATCAATCATTACACCTGTTAATGAATGTTCTCAGCCAAGTCTCGATCTACTAGAGCTTAATCTACTTATGAACACGGAGCTCAGCAATTTTTATATGGTCAGACTTGAAAAATGGCTGAATGAAATATATCTATATCACAACTTATCAGTAATATCAACAAAAATCTACTCAATTAAACATCAACTCGAAGGCCTAATATAAATGCTCATTAATCTGAAGCATTAACAAAAAAGATAGAAACAATTCTTTTAAGATCGAAAATCTCCCAAAAAAGAAACACCTCTCATTTGATGTCAACTCTGTTAATAATAAGCACTTATTAGAGCTGAATTGAATAGAGAGAAAACAAAAGTTTATTGTTTTATCATTACAAAGTGTAATTCTGACAACATATTTAATGTTGGGAAGGTTTTATAGTTTTTCCTGCAGTTAAGGTTCCAATAGATCGGTTTCAATATTTGTTCATCTTTTATTTTATGAATATTAACTACATTCAAGATTGATTTACTCATGTAATTACCTAGATTTTAAACTATCACCATGATTACGAGATAACAAAACTAACAAATGGCCTTGCTGAGCGGCACTGAACTCATAAATACTTACCATGTTTCCGTGGCAATGGGAAGTGATAAAGAAAAGAAGATAACAAATGATAGGTAAACTTAACATGTTCAAGAGGAGCAATAGGGTGAAAAAGTTGCAAAAAAAGATAGAAATGTATATTAAAAGACCAGAATCAAAGGATCAAGCAAGCGAATCAAGCATTTTCTGATGAATGGAAAATGAATGAAAAGAAAATGTAATCAAACTTGCAAAAGTTAAATTTCAATTATCCAAATGAGCTTCAAACTACAAAAATAATGTCATGCGATTAGCATAGGAAAAACAAGGAACAAAAGGAAATGCATGAATCCTACCCGTTAGTGTAAAGATAAATGGAAACAAGATCTTGAGAGAAACGTTTGTATTGAATTATAAATATGAAAGATGGTGTTTGAAAACGATTAGATTTGATTAGAACATTCATGAAACATCGGGAACAGCGAAGAAGCTAATAGATCAATTGACATTCGTCTTAAATTATAGCGAGAAACGAATAAATTTGGTTAGTTATTATTTGTTAGGAAATTATTTATAAAAGAAGTTAACAAAATTGAGTTAGTTTACGAAATAGGCAGAAGACAAAATGTTTGGTGGGTTGTTACTATTTTAATCAATTAAATGTGTATGTATTTGGTGTCACTGGTGATTTTATTTCACTATGATTGATGCTGTTGTTGGCTTCTTCATAGGCTTTCATATAACTCGAACCACTATAAATTATCTCCACCTCTGAATGATGAAGAACCTTTCCTTTTCTTGAGGTAAAAAATGACACCACCAACAACTATTATAATGACCACGAGAGCTCCGCAAGTAGCACCAACCACAATGGGAATACCATTTGAACAATGCCAAAATTGATGGTAGTCACCACAATCGTCTTTGGACTCAGAGAAATAGATTGCCTTTTGTTTAGCTGGATTAAGGTAAATTGATTTGCCTGTTGTATCACAATAAGTTGGTACCATCTCGAAGAAACAATCCAAGATCTCTTGAGTAGCGCAGCAGAAATTTTTCTCATTTCCTCCATTGTTCCACTTAGCTACTGCATTGGTATAACAAAGCTGTGTTCTCGTCTTAATTTCGGGTTTACAGGCATCTGGATCATTTTCTAATGAAACTGGTAGATTAAGAGATTGCCAGAATGTATCCCATGGCCTTATTTCATACAAATTCTCAGGTTTTTTAGTTGGTTCTGCCTGTTGCAGCAAAGCACCGCTATTACTTTGACTTGATGATGAGGAAGAGGAGGAGGAAGACGGCGTATCCAAACAGACCACAAAAGATCCACTGAGAAGAAGAATTAAACAAAAATAATTCACAATGGCCATGGTTGAAGATGTCAATCTAGTCAAATTGAAAGGCATTTTTGACACAAACTTAGTCATCTTAGGATTTGTCAGAAAATTCTGATTCCAATCAACTAATGATAAAGTTAATATATATTAATGTTGAAGCTTTTTTCGGACTATCAACCAACTCGGTCAGAAATACACAATAGAATAAATCACAGTTAAAAATGTAAAATTACTTGAATATCACGAAGCATTAAAATGAACTGTATTAGTTGCTTATCAGAAGTAAAAGTCTTTAGGTAATGTTTAGTAGACTTTCTCACCGTCTCTGTGTCTCTGTCTTGGTAATACTAACTGTTTGTTTCTGTAAACTGCTGAATTGATGTTATTAAGGAGATTTGTCGGTTTAATCTTAACTCGATCTCATTTCATCTTCCTTTGTAATTAGAATCAGCAATCGCAATTGTTGATCATCAGAAAGGTAAACCAAAAGAGAGAAAGAGAGAGAGAGAGAGAGAGAAAACACGAGAAGGCTGAGCAAGAGAAAAAAAGAGGAGGGAAAATGGCATGAAGAAACCAGGAATTTTTCAACCGTCGTTGTAATGTTTAACCAGGTTTTAATCAATTTACTCACTCTAAACACTCATAGGTAAAAATTGGTAAAGATGATAAAGATGATAAACTGTGAAGAGAAATAAGATTTGTTTATGGAAATTGAAAGTGACAAAGAGGCTAAAATAAAAAAAAGTAAATTGTATTGGGAGGAGAAATGGTTGAAAGGAAATGATGAAGATGTTAAAATGTGGATTTACAGTTTCCTCAATTTGTACCCAAATGTGATGGTGATTTTGATGGTGATGTCAAGATTTAACTAATCCGTGGTTAATTGTTTAACCGGATGCTCGGCTCAGTTGATATTATATATTTTTTATTTTCCCTGTAACCCTGAATACGCTTTTATTATTCACTCTTGTTTACTCTTTATTTACATAACAACATTGCTAGCTGTAGACATAAAAACTATCACTTTTATACTCTACATCTATAAACCAGTTTAACATTAATCTTGCCCATAATTTTAATTCCAGTTAACAGTTTAACCAATGGATCAATATAAGTCACAATTAAGGTTTACCAAGTGGATTAAAGCTTCGTTGGTTCGGAGGAAATGAAAAACCGCAATAAACTCAGCTTATCTCTATTTACCTCACAATTTGATTAGCCTTTCCCATTGAAATAATCATTATTGTACCTTTTCACAAACAAGTCTCGATCAGAATTGTTTACCTCGATAAGCTTCATTGGTAATCACTCTTCTTGATTTCAAGTTGTTCATTAATTATCTCATTTTTTGCTCAATTTACATTTGTAGTTGAACCTGTAAATGAATTGATTGTAACTCCGTTGATGTTGTTTGGTTCAAAATGATCAGTGGATTCAGTGGATTGACTAATTTCATTGTAACATTGAAAACAATGAAGGTTGATTAACATGTCTGACTATAAATTTCAACTCACGCAATAAACAATTTAGTTATTCATCAATTGTCATATTCGTTGTTAATTGTCATTAGTCTTTCATCAACTTGATTACCCACAATTTCAGGTTGAACCTGAGTTGTCGTTGACAACTTTTGACCCAAACAATAATAAAAATAACTGATTACTAGGATTATCTTATCATTGCAGTCAATATAACAATTTTATTATTCAATTTATCCTTGACTAGTTAATTGTGTAAAATTAACCATAAAAATTGAACATTTCAGTTGTAAGATTAGTTAAACTAATTGAAATGGTAACCATTTGCCAATGATTTTTGTTAACCTGGTTGACAATCATTTTTCTGGTTAATGGTTTCTGGTTGAGCTTTTCATAGCTTCATTTGATTTGATTGATTGAAATCTTTAAGGTTTAAATTGATTTAATACAGACAAATATTATTGTTCAGTTTGTGATTAGCGAAAAAATCAGTTGAATTTGTAATTAAAGATTAAATCGGTGGATATTTCAATAAGTCAATTGCTTTGGCTTCAACATCAGCAACAACATCATTCAGTTGATTAAACTTGAGAAATGAATCATTCTTTCATCGATATCAAATGATATGATTCATGGTAATCAGTGATAATAGTTTGACTCATTAAGATAACTCTGAACACGATATCAAGAAGTCATTCTTATTGAAATCATATCTCGAATAATGTTTCAACTCTTTTTTTAAAGATCTTGATGTTGCTGAATAACATGTAACTCTGTGATGCTTCCTGGGATTAGCAAGCTTTGTGATTGTTTATGGACTGTCCTAACTATTTAGTTGATTGTATCTATTATATTAATGATTTCGATATCAATTGTGTTGCGGATTTGATTGTAATTCATAAAAAGATGTTTTAAGTGTTGGTCTAGCAAATGATCTAACGATCTGTTTAAATAGAAATTGAAAATTGAAAATTAACGTTTATTAAATGTCTTTGAACTGTTTCTTTGTTCAATCGTTTAGTGTAAATGTGCTATTTCAGTTAATCATTTCATCAAATTATTCATTTGATTTACTTTAATTTGTCGTTTTTATACGATCTGGCAGATGGCGTTTGATAGCATTTGTTGAAAAAATTTGAAAAAATTCGAAAAGCTTTTTTGTGTTGATTTATTGTTGTTTTAATTTCAATTTGGTTTTATTAATTTCCATCATGGATAATAATTCGATAATCGATAGTGAATCTGATGGTAAATTGTTTGATTGGGACGACATGAGTGATTGTAATTATAGTGAAACTTCAAGTACAGCTAGTGAAACATCTAAAGTTGACAGAATTGCTGAACTCAATAGGAATCTCGCTGCAATTTCAAAGGAAGCTCAAGCTTCTCGAGATAAAAACAGAGGCCTCAAACATACACTTCGAGATTTAATGGAACGATATAAGCAAATGGAAGACATTTATGAGCAAATTGGTGTTAAAATGGAACCCCAATTAATTGTATTAGAAAATGAGATTTTAAAAGTTCAGCCAATACTGTCCATGGGCCAAACAATGTGTAAGTATTCAAACATTAAAGTTGATCTAAAAATGATAATTTTTTTCTCTTTCAGTAAAAAATTTACAAGAATATATTGAATACAAGTCTATTAAACTGCAGCTTTTGGATTTGGATGCAGAAGAGATGGAAACTGAAAGCAGTCCTAACAATCTCACTATTAATTATCCGACGGAGGAACAGATCTTGACAGAACTTATGGGACGAGTTAGCCTTGAAAAATCAAATGCTAACTTGACTGAATACTTCAATCTGGAAGAAAAACAATCAGATTATAAAAAACTAATGGAAGGTGGCATTAGGCACTACAACGAAATGCAGAAGAGATTTTCTAGTTCTAAAGAAGGTAATGTTACAGAGTGTATAACAATTCCTGATACTCAACCTTTTAATGTGAATTTTTGATCAAAATACCCTTACATTCAGCGAATAATTACACAAAATGATCTTTCATATTCATATGGTCTTCAACAATGTTTATTAAAACGTTATGTTTAAAGTCACACATTTATTTGATATTCATTTTTCACCATTGTTAATCAAAATATGTGAATTCACAAAAAGAATCGATTGAATACATGATTCACAAATCTGTAAGATGAAAGCTCTGAAAAATTAAAAACCTTTTTTCTTTAAAAATTGATTTAGTCTTTTGACAACCTCTTCGGGCGCTTCAAAATGAGGATAATGTCCAATATTATCATCTAATTTGTCAAAATATTGATTTGGAATAAGTTTATGATACATTTCTTCGAATGGTGCTGGATTAACTGGATCAGCTGGACCATAAATAAACTGCAAAGGGATTTTGGTGTTTTTTGTTGCAGACACCCATCGATCTTCGTGTTCATATCTTTCATCGAGATAAGACAGTATTTCACCGAATACTCGATATCCGTGATTTTGTCTAACGATCGCCCAGAAATCATAAAATTCGGCCATTGTTGGGCTAGTTCCACTTCCAAAGACTCTGTTCAAGTTGATAGCGAAAGTGTACTTGTTATTCAGCTTGCCAAGAAAAAACCCTATCACAGGGAGATGAAGCAGCTATGAATAAAAAAAGAGAGCATGAATTTTGAGTTTGTTTATGGGAAAATTGGACAATTTATCATAACTTACTCTTTGTATTAACAGAGGAGAATGGATGGCTGGAAAAATTCCCCCATTCATCAGTGAAACACTTTTAATAGGAAGCTGTAAACCATCCTCTCTGCAATAGAATTTAAATGATTTTCAAAATTAGATTAAAAAATCTCAAATTCAATGATAAAACTTCGGAACTGTCGATAAATCAACTAACTTTATACGAGCAAGTAATTCTTGAGTTACGGTATCACCATAGTCATGAGCTAAGAGATGAAATGCATCCACTTTGATATGGTTAAGAACAGCTTGTACAATATCTGCTTGTTCCATGATTGAGTAGGAATGTCCAGTCTAAAATTAAAAAATAAGAAATGTCAATCATAATGGCCACAGGTTGGACAACAGAAACATGAGCAATGGCTGAGAGCTGAAAACTCTACTGGTTAAATTGATATTACCGGTTTATCACTGTAACCCATTCCTAGAAAGTCAATGAAGATGATTCTATCGAAACTTTTAATTAGATATGGATATGCTTTGAAATAATCAAAACTTGAGGTTGGAAAACCATGAAGACATACTAAGGTCTTAGTTCCATTGTTGATCTGTTTGTCTAAAAAAGATAGCGGAACAAATAAATCAAATTAGTAAAAGAAAGTAATCTCGATTTTAAAGCTTACCAATATAAAAAATATTAAATTTCTTATGAGTTAGAAATGATCCCCATGTTTTCCATTGATACATTATCGGCGATACTGGAGGCACAGGATAATGAGAGAAAATGGCGTACACAATAGCAATCAAGGCCACTAAAATGGTAGTAACTTTGGTGAATAGATCCATGTTTGATGTTTAATTAATTATTTGTAAACATTAAAAATAAATGCTTTTACAAGTGAACGTCAACAGATGACTTGGATGTTTTGAAAACTTGTCACTACAGACAAAATAAACAAAATTATAGAATGCTCAAAGATAGGGAAATGGAAATTGTTGAACTTGTAAAAAATGGAACCATTTTAAGAATTACTTGACATTGATTTAAAATATAATTAAAACTAAATCAAAATCATTTGAAGAAAATATAATTTGGTAAAGAAATGACAAAATTAAAAGTTGAAGTTACAGACTCACTGTTTACAAGTGTGAAGTCAAAGCGCGCCAGATTCAATTATCCAATCCTGCTCTTTTTTGCCTGTTAACTGAACAGTATTTAATTAGCTTAATGATGGATTATTAATTGACTTATTAGCTTTTTTAATGTGTCTATCTAATAATTAGATGAAAAGTTTGCTTTATTCATGATAAGATGGACGGTTGAATGGGCAACTAATGAAATTAATGGGCTTAATTTAATGAATACACTGCAATGTTTAGAGATAAATCTCACACATGAATATAAATTTGGCAAGAATTTCCTTTCTTCCATTGATTGTTCAATTTAACTACATTTCCACATCAAAGGGAATCAATCTTAATCATTGCTATGAGGGAATTAATGTTATTTAATAAAGGAAAAATACATTATTTTTCCTCTTCATATTTTGTAACTTCATTTAATCAACTATTTACCATTCGGCATTTCAAACAAACTGTAAACACAACAATTTACGGCGTTTACAATTCTTACTCGACTGTCAGTTCTCATTAAATTTATATTTTGTGTGTCATTGTCCGAAATTATCTCATTCCTAGAATCAACATGAAATCTTGGTCCATTTCTCAATCAGTTTGAGTACAGTAATTAGTATTATTATTATAAAACAATCAATTTGTTTCAATCTCAAGGTAATCTATTTATATTGAAGCAGAAACAGGATGGATAAATTGAATTATATCAACATATCTTAATTTAATTATTTACTGAGGTGAGACAAAAAACAACTTGATTATATTACATGATAAAAATTAATAATATTGATTTATATGTATTTTTTTGTTTAACAATTTCTGTTTTTTTAGTTTTTGTTATTCTGTAGATTCAGACTTTTGCAAATCAGTCTGTATCGATGAGGAAGGATAAGGATGAACTTGATTGTTTGATTGGCTCGGTGTTGATGATGGTTGTGATATTGATGGTAATGGTTCCTTATTAACATCATTGGTCACTTGGTTTCCATTATTATTACCATCATTATTATCATTATTATTAATACTATTAACAACATTTTGTCCTTTTAATAATCCATTAGGCATAGTTGACCGATTGTTTGGATGATGATGTGAAGAGGGATTACGACGACGTTGAGAAGAGGCATGTTTATTGTGCTGATTGACATCTTCGTGAGATTGATGATGCTGATTGCTTTCAGAAGGTTCATCCCAAGCATGGTCATTGCTCAAGAAACCACGAAAAAGATCGATTGGCAAAGGAAATACAATTGTCGAATTTTTCTCAGCCGCAATTGAATTGAGTGTTTGAAGGTAGCGAAGTTGTAATGCTGCTGGTGAACCATGAATTACATCCGCTGCTTCCTTTAATGCTCGAGAGGCTCTGTAATAATCATGCAAGAAAAAAGGAGAAATAAAATTAGATCTCAATTAAAGTTAATTAGAAAAATCAAATCAACCAAATGCATATGTTTTGGGTAAGCAATAAACTTGAATTTTTGTCTTCCTTTCCCTTCATCCAATATCAATTATCCAGTTTACTTGTTAAATTTTCACCTCTTGATTACTCGGATGATATAATTTACATCAACTTTTACCTCAAAACCCAAAGTTTGATAGATAATTTGTTTGGTAAATAAGATAATTGAATTGGTTAAACATGTTTACCTTTGTTCACCTTCAGCAGCAATCACTTTAGCTCGAGCTTCTCGAGCAGCCTCTGCCTCAGTTGCCATGGCACGTTGAAGTTGCACTGGAAGACGAGCATCTTTACTGTTTATCCAGAGAGTGATGATAATGATGATGAAACCCAGATGAAATAGTCATGTAAAAAAAGAGAGAAGATAAGAAAAACATGAAACAATGGGAATCAATAACTGTTTTGTTATCCTTTCTGTCAATCAACTTCTCAGTCAAGCCTCACCATGGGACTGAAACTTGCAATAAATCTATTGCATTTTGTTATTCTTGTTGCTACTGAAAGATGTAAAGCAAGATTGCTGATTATCATTGAGATCGCAAGGATTAACCAGCCATGCAGAAGGCTAATTTGAATGAATTGGTAACTCGTAAGTTTGCGGTAAAAGGTTTGAAAGCAGAAAAAAAAATTTCCAAAGCAAAGTGAAAGAAAAAAAATATTCAACCGAGTGAAACCGATGCAAAAAAATCTGAGAAACTAAGAATAATTCCATGGGATGAAGAAATGGAAAGAGAAAGAAAACGAGAAAAGAATGGAATAAGCAAAGACTGTTCAGAATATTCTTTGGAGCTCATGGAAGGTGCAAAAAACATCACTATTCATCAATTAACATGGATGGATAGTTGAAAGACATTCTGAAAAACAACTGGCATACAAAAAAAGGCTGAAGATGAAGATGAAAAAGTGGGAAAATTTTGCTTCAATTGATGCTAATATCTTGAAAGTTTGCAATGTCAATGTTTTCACATTTGGCTGTAATGTTTTTCAAGTTCAGCTGATGAAGATAGATTTGCTTTTCATATTATGATTATGATAAGTAAGTCCATAAGTTGCGGAGGAATGAACAGGAATGGATGAATGGTCATAGACGTGAAGGAGGAAAGATGTAATATTTGGATAAATAAAAATCCAGCTGATGAAGCATTTCTTATATTATCTATTATCACTTGAACGATTGGACGCAAATCTTATAAACTTACAACATCATCATGATAATCTATTGGTATTATCTGGCTCAATGAAATGCCAAGAAAATTGGTCAAGTCAAATGAGAGAAGAAGAAAAATGATTGAATCAATAAAAAGGTAAATTAAATCAACTGATAAATAAGGTAAATTATCTCATCCTCTTTAAGAACCCTTTTCTGCCTTCCAAATGATTACTAAATTTTATCACCACAGATTTATATAACATATGATCATCATTTTTCTGGCAAAACCATGTCCAGTTAACGTCATAACTATTATCATTGATTTTTTTGTTGATCCTTCCTTTAGATTACTTGAATGTCTTTGTAACTTTCCTGTTGCCAGTCCTGGTTTTGGGTAATAATGATGGATTAAATATTCATCTGTAGGTAAATTTTGCCAAGTCAAGTATTCCTTGATTCCTTGGATTAAAATGAATCACTTTTTTTCACTCTGCTTTGAAGTTTAATTTGGTGAATCCTGGAAATCATACTTGAGCTAATCTTGCTTGACATAATGACAGTCTAGATGACATTTTGTTTTCATCAAAATGACCATTTCAACCTTTCTTGCTTTATGATGTTAGTAGCCAGAATGTAACTAAATCAGCTGCAATTTGTTGAAACCATAGAGAATCTGGTTTACTAGATTCAGTCCAATTTAAACCGGATAAATACCAATCAACAGCAGGAAACACAATTTCAACAATGATAAGGATAAACATTGAAATATAAAAGATGGTGGAGTAGAAGGTTATGAATTGAGAAGAAAAAAAAGACTAACTGAAGAATAGCCTATCATGGTGAAAGATGATGAAGATTATGATGGAAACAAACATGATCCGAGTTATTGTGCTACTTATTTTACACAATTAATAATTTCAAATCAGAAGCGAGTTGGCCACTAGACAAAAAACAAGTCTCGTTCAAATTATCTGAAGATCTCGAGACAATCAACTTAATTATTTTCTTGGAATTTCAACATTTCAAGAACAAGAATTTTGCTGAACTTTTTCTCCTCAGAAGATAATCTTCCTTCACATCTTTAATTTTTCTTTATGCTATTTATCAGATATTCAAGAATTTTTTAATTAAAATTAACCAATTTTGTGATCAGGAAACTGAGTAAACAAAAGGTTTAGGAAATAAAACTAAAGAATGAAAATTTCTCCTGGATTAGATATCTTCACAACATGGAGACTGAACTTACTAAAGACCAGATTAAAGTAATCAATGAAATACTGTGGTTAGGCGAAGTTGAAGAAACATAAGATAGTCTTGAAAGATAAACCACTTGATTTGAACGATTACTTTTTTAATATTTATTTTGCGTCAAAATTTGATTTTTTATCACTATTCAATATTTTTTCATAAAACTGAAATGAAAGTATCATTCAGATTCTTCTAAATCTGTTCTTTGAATCTTTGAAAAGTAAATATTGAAAAAGTTATCATAAGACTCAAGTGATCTTATACTTTTTACCAAGACTAGCATGGCAAACAAAAGATTGTATGAAATTCAATTAATAAAGAGCAAGCCAAACAATCGAAGGGAAATTCAATGACGCTAAAATCACGTCGATCATAGTCGCAATTAAATGTTAACATGAGCTCCAGTTATTAAATTAGAAGTCTCTGAGTCTTGTTAATGAAATAATACGAATTAAACATGATTTTCTCCTTTCTAGTCCATATCTGGCTTTATCCTTGCTTGTGCACTGACATGTTGATTGAAATTCCAACTCACATTTCAACTCTTTCAACTTTAACTCCCCATGGATCCGTTGCTTCATCCAGGCTACTTTGCATAATATGGCTTATCGATTCTCTTTCAGATAATATTTCGGACAAATTTTTGGTACCAAGGACATTACGAAGGGTTGTGGCTGCCAACAAACGAGTTGATCGTCCATAATCTTCAACATTTGACACTGCAATGGTTGCATTACTTATACGATAATAGACTACAGCGTCAACCGCCACCGTTACTGAATCTTTGGACAAAATCTGAAATGAAAAAAAGAAAAATAAAAACATGTTAGTCAATATCAAATAAAGTGGTACATAATAAAAGGTTTAGTGAATGTTGAAAAAATTCAATAATTCACATTTTAAGATTCTAAAAATGAATAAGTTCAAGATCTTTATCATTTTGTTGTTGTTTGCTCATTCTTTTACCATCCTCCCAATAATACCTTTTAGACTAATATTTTCAGGTTTATTGATTTTGTTTAAAAGGGAGTTACCATCATTATTCATCATTCAAAACTGATTTAGCATAATTCATAATCATCTAGGATAACCCAGCAAGTAGATGGTAAGTCCTGGAAGCAATGGGAAAAATATTGTGAACAGTCCATCAACGGATCACAATTGACATAATATGAGCAATTAAGACAGAGAAATTACATTGAACAAACAATTTGAAAACAGTCCTAGATTAAGAAATGTAAATTGAAATGGTTAAGTATACAGTTGAAGGAGAAAGCTTAAGTTGAAATGGTAAGCTCTTCATTTCAGCAATATTTACATGAACAGTATGAAAAGTAGGAAAGTGAACAGACTCTACAGAGAAATAACAACAGAATTAATCAATCAACTATAATTAATTGTTTTAACGTTCTGTATTAAGATTAATCCTAAATTTGATCGTTTGCTTGATTGTATCTTCACAGCAAAAGAAAGAAGAAATAGACCTTTTCATCATTCAACTAATACTTATCCACATCATTCCGAGACTTCATTCACGCAATTAACTATTCAAGATTTTTTCTTTCTCTTCTTCTGGTGGATGTTGATGATGAAGGAATCAAGAATCCAATAAATCTTGTGTGTAAATATTTTCATCTCCATATTTACTTAAGACATCAGGCGAAATATCAGGGATAATCAAAGTTAAGGGTTATATATATTTAGAACCTTTAAAGAAATGTAATAAATCATGGTAATTCATTAGGGATGGAAAAAGGTTACAACACGAAAATTTAGTCTCTTGATGAGAATTTGGCTGAATCAGTTTAAAGAGATTGCAATTGATTAACTTATAAAAATGATCTCCACCATTAACATCAAATACCACAGAGGATGAAAGGCACAATCAAAGATAATCTTTACTTTTTCTCTGTATTTTGTTTTCTGTCCAGTTATTTCTTTTTCCTCCTCCTTCTTTGATTCTGATGATGATGCTCTTATTAGTCAAGATCAGCATGGCTATTCAATTCTGTAGACTGTTGGTAGTAAAGGGACTAATTAAGGTTGTCACCGAATGATTGCATACAAATCATTCTTAATTATCACCTTAATCTGATTCCTCTGAATCAAAGGAGAGTAATAAGTCTCTTTATGGTTAAGCACCAGGCTAACATCACTCGCAACTCTTATTAAACTCTTGTGATTAATTATTATTACTACTTCATCTGATTTCTTTTGCTGGCCCAATATAATGATAAATATTGCGGATATACAATAAATATACAATATATTGATAAATAACGATTGATGGATGGTTCAACAAATTCTGCTCGTTGAAAGACAGAAACATAATACAGTTTATGTTGAAACTAATTTTCAACGTGCGACCAGTTTCTCATGCAAGTTAATGGCTGAGTCCAGAGAAATTATCTAATTAAATGAGTAAACAGGGAAACATTAACATGAGCGATTGAATTAAGCATGTGGTAGCCTCTGTGGTATCCTCTATCGCTGTAAAGAAAGGACAGAAGAGTAAAGAAATCACTTAGCGAAAGAATTAAATTTGAGTGCCATGAAAAATATTACATTGAATATTTGTTTTACTTTTCAGGTAAAGAAATTGATTTGAAATAAATCAATGAAAATGGAATGTGTGAAAAGGTAAAATTTTTACCTTGTCAGAGGTTTACGAGTTTTTGAGCAGAAATAGATTTGAGAATCATATGGGAAGAAGATGAAGATGACAGAGAAAACTAAGAACAGAAGGAGAAAAGGAAACTAAATCTTGTGAACTGAACAAACCAGAAAATACGTTAAATAAATAAAACTACCATGGAAGATGTGACATGAAGTAAAAGGATGATGATGAGAGTAAATATGGGAACAAAAATCTTACCTCTTGAGGAGGAACATCAAATGAAACTGTTCTAAGGTCAACTTTAGAGTAAGTATCAATACAAGGTATAATAAAGAAGATTCCTGGTCCTTTTGCTCCTCCTTTGACTAATCTACCGAGACGAAATATAACGGCTCTTTCATATTCTTGGACAACCTGAAAAAGAGAAAGGTAAAATTAATAATAGAATGGATAATTAAATTCATTGATTAAAGACACTCAAGAAATAGATGAAAACAAGGCTATTAGTAAATCAAATGCAGACGATGTTGGCAAAACCAAACTCTGGCGCCAAGAAAAGCATTAATCATGTGACAATAAACATGTGGTTTACATAATCTGGAATCTTCTTTTTGGTTCAATTAAGCATTGTCTATGGTATCAATCAAAGAGTACTCTTTGTATGGTATTATTTTAATTATTAACTGATTTGCTTTCTCTAATTATAATTTAGTGTTTCATTCATGTGCTGACTTATGGATAAATAATTGATTGAGCATCAAAACAGTTTTTATTTTCTGGTTCCCTTTGATTTCTGTGTTCACGTCTCTTCTCTGGTAGAGCATCTTATAAACTATTCAATGGCTTTCTAAACATGAACGAAGAAAATGGCTTGAAAAGCTGATTTAAAGGTAAGTAAATAATGAAAAATAAAATGATCTATGAAACTAAATGTATCTTTATCATCATCAGATTAATAGGAGGAAAAATAAAAGGCAAAATAATGTTAAACACTTGAATGGACCAAGAAAGGTGTTAATATCGGTTAAAGTCATATCAACTACTGTTGAGGAGGAATAATGATGTTTAGAGATGAATCTGATAATCTGGATATCTATTTCAAGTTAATCTTACCTAAAATCGTTTAGGATCATACTTTGCTAACAAGTTTAAATGGAAACTCAAAAAATACGATGAAAATGATGGCGATGCGATGATCGGTCAATGGTGGTAATATTTCATTGCTATAAACTGAAAATGTTGAAAGTAAAATGGAAAGCCATGGCAGGAAAAAAGATCTTCTTTTTGACTGAATACAAATCTGACCACGAAATATGAATATGACTTGATCCATTATTGTTATTATTATCATTACCATTATTATTCTGGATGTAACTGAATATTCTTATCACGAATACATGGGAGACGAATAAGGAAACGAATACGAATGGAGGAGGAGGAAGAAGAAGACGAAGATAAAGAAAATGAATTATTTTTATTTTATGTCTTTTCTTGTCCAATATGCATATTAAGGTTTAATGACATAATATTTGTTGCTATCTATTGGACTATTTGTGTAGAGTCAGAGGAGAAGAAAAAATTACAATCAAAGTCAAATCCAAACCTAAAATAGCTTATAAATTGTTACCTGTTGGCGTTTAACCATAAATAATGCTGGATTGACCATTTCCTACGCTCTGATTGTAATCGATTTATTTGTTAAATTGGGAGAGGAAAAAATGAAGGAAATAATCAATTTCCGATGAATGAACAATTACTGCATATAAATGGTTAAAAAAAGGAAAGGTTAATGAATGGATCAAAGCAACAATCAAATACATTATGTGATTCCAAATCATTTTTAAATCTTGTAAAAGCTAAAATAGATTGCCCTTTCCGCAACTATTTCAATTACTTTGATTTATCAATTTTTAACCAAAAAGCTTGATAAATTTTTGATTGAATTTTCAATGAAAAACATGTTTGCTATTAATTCTGAACCTTTACCATGAATATTTAAGATGAACCATTCCGATAAACTATTAATGTTTGGTAATAATACAATTCCAATGAAAGTTGAAAATAAATTAAACATTTGCATTTTAATTCCCTAAATAAATGAGTCAATTGAAATGATATTCATTAGCAATTTATGATAAAACCAACGGAAATTATGAACTTAAATGATATCATGATTGCTTGAAATATGAAATTTTTTGAAATTATGTATTAACCAAGCATTTAAAATAAAAGATCAAATCTTCTTTGAATTGTAATCAGATTAAATTAGACTAAATAATAAGCTGATTAAATGAATTGAAAAAGTAACAAATCAAGTTGAAATGGTTATTGATATATCCTTAACGTTTTAAGATAGAAACATTGAAAAGCATCAAATTTTCAGACTAAACCTTGAATTGCAATAAATTGTTGGAAAGGTGAGAAGTAATTTCCTTTACTATTAAGTTAATTGTTGTGACCAGAACAATGATAATGATAATAATAAGTAATAATGTTAATAATAATCTGTAAACTTAATAATAAAAGATGAAAAGGAGTGAAAAACTCCAGGGAAGAAAAAGATGATAAAGGAAAAGATATAACAATAAATGTTACTATTAACTTCCATCATGATAATCATAATTTTTTTGTTCTCTTCTTTTTCTTCTCCCATCTGATAATAGAAATGAATTTTCTTGAGCTTTCACTGTTTTAGGTGAACCTCCATGATGATCCTATTATATTACATTAATTTGTATTATTGATGAAAATAGATACAATTTAGTTTTCCCTTTTTTTCCCATCACTCATTCAAATGTATTAATTTTCATGGCGATCAGTAAATTGAAGGGAAAATGCTTTTGAAAAGTCAACCTTTTCTCAATGAATTAACATCTTCTGTACATTTTGTTGATCAAATTTAGCTTATGATTAGTTTATTGTGTGAGCTTCAAATCAAAATGTGATTGAGATGTTTCAAAGCTTCCACAATTTATCATGATTCATCATCGTCAATGTTATCCAGATGTTTGATAATGATTAAAATAAAGCTTCAGGCTTCAGATTGATTTCAATTCAATCCTTAAATTTGACCAATCAGTTAATTCATCAAATACAATTAACCTCAAGAGTAAAAGTTGATTATCATAAAAGAATCAGCAATTGTTTACTTTTCCCTCAACTCTCGTTATTAACCCAATGATAATCACATTGATATTGATTGATTTGTATAACCTAATCACATTGATATTGATTGATTTGTATAACCTTTGACAGTTAACCAGACAGTTTTACCATGAAATCTGATTGAAAATAAAGATCCAAAATTGGTTGACAATTGAAGATTAAGAAAGGATAATCAACAATTCTCAAGATAATTGAAGTAAAGTCATTCCCTCATGTAATACAATATGAAGACTGAGAAAACAATGAAAAGATGATTGAGATTGATTGACAAAAACATTAGTTAATTATGTTGATCAGTTTTAATAGTTTTAATGAATTAACCTTCAATGTGGATGAAAATTGAAAATCAATCCTCAAAGGTTATCAACTATCGCCAGTTATTTTGGGTAAATGTTTAAAGTTTATTGTTCCCATTGATTAACATCAACTTAATCAGATAATCACAATCAAGGGTCAATCATCTGTAAATCACAGGTCAAAATATCTGAAAGTGGCACACCTCCAGCTTTGAATCATGTTTCAACTCCACCCTGAAATGAGCTCAGGATGAAATGAAATTAAATGAATTACCAATCATCAGAATTGATGATTAAATTTGTATTGTCAATGAACAAAACAAAACAAGAAAACAAAATGAATAACAAAAGAGTTGAAAAAGATGTTCAATGATTTTGGCTGAACAGGAAATTTGATTGAAAATATTTTCAATTCAATTTCGCTGTAAGCTTTTTCAATCGTTTTTTTTCTGTATCGATGGAAAATCGAAAAGGAAATGAAAAATTCAATAAAATGAGGAAAATTTCTTGTTCTTTGAAACTCGTCTAATGATTATTAAATGTTGATTAACTTCAGTGATCCTTCATTGTTCAATGGTTCACAATTGGAAAACATTTACAGAATGAAAATGCTAATTGAATTTGATTTTCAAGTTTCAACTCATTAATTCACCGTTTTAGGATATAATAACTTTCATCAGAATGGTAAAGTTAATGAGTCAATGTTTATCCAGTTGATATTGAATCTGATTTCCATTGGAAATTAAGTCTGATTTTCTGATGGAAAAAAAGAAGAGAAAATTTCATCAGATTCTCTTTTCTTTTTTCATGTTTCAAGAACAACTCAAGTGAAAGGTAAAGAGGTTCATGATGATAATAGTAATGATGATGATGGCCATCTATGTTTCATCTAAAAGATGATCACTATTATGAGAGAGAAATGAGAAAAGTTGAAAAAAGTAAAAGGACAAGTAACGATTTAAATTGGCTACTAAAGTTAAAGATAAACTGTTCAAGAGGAAAAGGTTTCAATGGTGAAGATGATCAAGAAGGATGAACAGTAATCATTTGAACACATAAGAAGCTAATGAAGGTCCAGGTTGATTTGCCAAACATTTGATTTACTTTAAGATGTTGACTTACCTTGATACAAAAGAAAAGTGAAAAAGGCAGTGTTAATACAATGAGTATCACAGAAATAACTGTTAATATCAAGGCGCACAGACCAGGATTATGTCCGATTGTATCTGAAATGGAAAGAAACAGAATGAATATTGAGAAAATTCAGTTTTTGGAACAAATTCAGGATTAATTTCTGTCTCTAAATCTGTACATTTCATTGTTCAATCTTTTGATTTTGGGATTGTTTTGCGGTTAAACATTGGTTTTGGTGTTTTGGTCTTATTTTGGGTTTTAGTGTTATTTATCATTTGGTGAGGTAAACATTGAATCTGTTTCAATCAATTTTTGTCTTCATTATTATTTGGATCACGTTTATGATAATCATTAGCAACTCTATCATATTAAACTCTGATTAAGCTGACTGGTTAACGGATAAATCAGTCTGCATCTTGTGTTTACCTTCAATTGTTATGATTGAAATTTTTAGAATCAATTAGCAATAAATCCTAATTGAATGGATCAAGTCCCGGTTAGCCATAAAATTGTTGATCTTGATTTACTTTTGGTAAATATGATTCTTTAAAGATAATCAAAGTTATTGATTCAATAAAAATATTCTGAAACTGCTTCAGGGTGGAAAATATTGGATACGATTGAAAGGATTGGATAAAAATGTCAAGCAAAGATGAATAACAATGAGATCAAAACAAGTGAACAGACATTGAAATCTATGAATATTTAATGTAAATGTTCCCTCCAAATCAGACAAAGCTAATTGTTTGACTATTGAGCACAGAATTTTTAATTGCTTGTAAAATTTGTTGAAATTTATAGCCAAGCAATTTATGACTTCAAGATCGTTGAATGAATCAAGTTATTCCTGAAACAAATCCAATTGTCAAATGGAAATGAAAATTTGATTTTGGGTTAACAATATTTTTGTCAAAATGAAAGTTTCCAAATTTAACTAGTCATTGATGTAAAGCAATTGAATGCTCTGGGCTATTCTAATATGAAATGTTAAGATTCATATTTGCTATAAAAATGCTGAAACGAAAACTTTGGAATCTGCCTTA